ATGATATCGGAAACAAAAGAGTAATCAGTGGTAAAATTGCTATTCAATGGATCAATAATTTAGTTGATTGTGTTATTAAAGGAAGTGATACACAAATCAATGTCAATGACTATATACCGAACACAAGTAATGCTATCAATAGCATAGAAAACACTGTTAACACTAATAATTTCAGTTATGATCTAAATATTGATTCACAGAATATTCTGATTAATTCTCAACAAACAAGTGATACTATCAATGAAAATGACATCACAATTGAAGACAGAGTTAAAAATCTCGAAAAAATGGTCAAATCATTGATAACTACTTCTAACACAAAGTTTGTAAACAAACATCACGTGAAACAACAGTCTGTTTATAATAAAAGACAAAACATTATGAAACCACTGAAAAGGTGTTATGTCTGCAACAAAGTCGGACACATAGCTAACCAATGCTATCACAACAAAAGCAACAATAATAACACCCGAAAACCAAGAATTTACCAAAAGAACCGTCATTTCAGAGGACAGGCATATCTCGGGCAACAATCATATCAATCGACAGCAAACACAATGACACCAACAGTTTCACCGACTTTTTTGGTCAATCCGATGAATCAATTTCCGGGACCACCAAACACGACACATATACCTCTACAGTACATAAGTCAACCTCTATATCAACGATAGTAAGAAAAATCATTTTATTTTATGCTAACACTAGAAGTGTTGCAAACAAATTAAATGAATTAAATGCCAAATTAATTGAAACTAATTGTGATATATTAATACTTAATGAAAGTTGGCTAAATGATAGCATACCTAACAAATGTGTAATTAATAATAACTTTATAATTTATAGAAAAGATAGGGACAGCAGAGGTGGCGGCGTTTTAATTGCCGTAAAAACAATATTTAAATCAAAAGAAATAAAAATCAATACAGAATTTGAAAATATATTTATTGAAATTATTATTAATGACAAAAAGTTATTATTTTTCACACTTTATAGACCTTCAAATATTACAATTGATTTTAAAAACTATTTACTATATATAAGTAAAAATATAGATTTATTATCGTATTACTTAATTATTTTTTGTGGAGATTTAAACATAAATATTTACAACAATAACACTATTAAAAATGATTTAATTGAAAATTTTTCATATTATAATTTTACACAATTAGTAAACACACCAACTTATCCATCACATAATCCAAAAAATCTATTAGATGTTTATTTTACAAATAATAAAAATTTAATAACATATGTTAAAACAATACCTAATTTAAATGAAAACTGCGATCATTTAGGTGTTTTAAGTGAAATTAATATACAATATAATAAAAAGTCTAATAATAGTATTATAAAAACTAATTATAGCAAAGAGTCATTATTAGATTTTAATAATAAATTATATCAAATTAATTGGTTTGAATTAACTAAAAATGATAATGATATCAATAGTATATATGAAAAAATAGTAAATAAGTATAAAGATCTATATGATAAAACTTTTAGTAAAGTAGTTATAAAAGTAAATACAAATAAATTTTATAATAAATCTATCATTGAATTAATTAATAAACGCAAAAATATACTAAGACACAATTTTAATGAAAACAATTTTAATGAAAAATATCATTTTTTAACTAAACTAATAGGATACGAAATTAATAAATATGAAAATAATAAATTTAAATCATTGATAACTAAGTCAAATAATTTTAATAAATTTTATAAATATGTTAAATGTATTTCTAGTGATGAAACTAATAAATGTTTTATTAATGATAAAAACGAGACAATAACTGATAATCAGTTAATAGTAGAAAATTTTAAGAATGAATTCATAAAATCATATAATAATAACACTAATAATAATTTTCAGAATATTGTCACAAATTTAAATAATAATTTATTTGAATTTGATTTATCTATGAATGATGTAATAAAAAGTTTTCAGAAATATAATTATAATTCATCTCAAGGATTAACATTTATTGATAATATTGTACTAAAAAACTGTTTAAATGGTACTTCAAAATTAATTTATTTTTTATTTAACAAAATTTTATTTCATCAGCATTTTCCAAAAAAATTAAAAATAATTGAAATTACACCTATAATTAAAAGTAATAAAAATAAGCAATTATTTAACTCTTACAGAGCTATTGGGGTTCAATCAAATTTATTTAGGATTTTTGAAAATATTATTAATCAAAAATTAATACCGTATATTGAATTTAATAATATTTTACCCAATTGTCAATATGCTTATAGAACCAAAATAGGTCTAAAAAATTTTCATATAGATATGCAACAAGTAATTTGTAATGCTTTTAATAACAATATTGTTGGTATAGATATTATATTTTTAGATTTTTCTAATGCTTTCAATACTGTATCTCATGATATTTTAATGAAAAAACTTAAAAGTTATAATATACATGGTAAATTTTATAATATTTTATGTGATATTTTTAAAGATAGATACCAATATGTTAAATATAATAATCATAAATCAGATTTATTTAGTGTACAATCTGGTGTAATACAGGGTGGAGTTACATCAAGTGTTTTATTTAATCTATACATTTCAGATATTATACAAAATTTAAATAGTTATATTTTTAAATATGCGGATGATATTACATTAATCAAAATAATTAATAATAATAATGACTGTCATAAGTTACAATCTGATTTAAATTGCATTTCAAATTTTTGTATTATAAATCAGTTACAATTAAATATCAGTAAATGTGAATTTATGCGAATTTCAACTAAATCTACTGAAATAAATGATTACTTTATAAATTCTACTAAAATTAAAAATATAGATAATAACAAAAATGTAGGTATATTTTATGATAAAAATTTTAATTTTAATATTCACGTAAACTATATATACAACAAATGTATTAAAAAATTTGCAATTTTAAAAAATATTTGTAAAAAAGCTAGTGGTAATACCTTTTTAAAAGCATATCAAACTTATATTATACCCATAATTGAATATTGTAACCTATGTTTAGTATATAATTCAACACAATCTGAAAAAATTGAAAAAATTCAGAAAAAAGTGACAAAATATATCTGTATGCTAATGAATAAATTTAATTTATCATATTATGAAAGATTAAAATTTTTAGATTTAGAATCATTAGGTAAACGCAGAATTTTACAAAATTTGAAGTTATTTTTTAAAATAAAACTTAAAAACATTGATATTCCTAACAATTGGATAAACTGTGTTGAATTCTATAATACAACTAGACATGGGATAAAATGTAGAAAAACTGTTAATAGATTAAAAAGGTTTGATAAAAACTTTTTTGATTACAATGTAAATTTATTTAACAATTTACCACAAAATATTAGGGATGAAACAAATTATAACAAAATAATTAATTTACTTAATTGTTATTTTAAATAAATATGTAATTTTAAAATAATTTTAACATATTTTATTGTCAAATATTATTGTATATTATTATGAGAATATTGTATTTCATAACAAGTATGTGAAATAAAGATTATTATTATTATTAACAATGATGTCAACCAATTAATCCCAAACGTAATCTACAATAATTGTTGACAATATCACTGATGTGAACTAATTATTGCGCAATAACTCGGGATTTGACCACAATTTGACAAAAGAAGACAAGACATGAAATGATAACTCATTTATTAATTGAATTGATATTTCAAATACAAAGATATTGTGTGAAYACTTCAATAATGTGTTCACAATTAATGCCAAAAACTAATTGATTTCATAGTGAATCCAAAATTGTCATGTTTTATACACAGTTTGTTACTGTCAACCCTAATGAAACCAACATTTTATTGGTTTGCTTACATTATGTAAGTTACCCAGTAATACATGGTTAACAAATTATATATACAGTATAGTAATAGCATTATCATCGTGTACTGTATATGTTAATGTAAAAACAGTTTATTGATCTGACGATGATTTTTCAACCAACAAGTTATGATAATTTTGTGTAAAATTTTTGAAAATAAGTATCAATGAAACATTATGATATTTTTATTTGGAATTTTTTTTTTAAAATTTAACTCATTTTATTTTATTAGATTTTYGTTATCTTTCAATCTATGTTTRAATCACAAAATKTGTGTGTATGTGTGTGTATGTATRTATGTATGCATGTGTGTGTGTGTGTGTGTGTGTGTGTGTGTGTGTGTGTGTGTGTGTGTGTGTGTGTGTGTTTTGTATGTGTCTATTGATACTAATTTATATATATTCCTATATATTKATATTTTGTTTGTCTGGGTTTTTTCTGAATTTAATTTAATACTAATAAAAATYGTGTGAATAAAATGGTTTAATTAACTTTTWTGTAGTATATAAATRYWAATACAGTAAAAAATTAGATTTTATTTTAGTTTTTTTATCTGGTATTGAACTTCAAATCCCTATTAATTTAAGTGTTATAAATGTAATTAAATCTAACTTTGTTATAATTAATTGTYAAAATAAAAATCATTGCTATTTTGAATTAATTTGCTGTAATTATTCTAAAATAATTTAATAATGTTTATTATTATTATTATTATTATTGAATAAAACTAAAAATATATATTTAATATTATATTTTGAATTTGATATACATTTGATGTAATTAACATATATGAATATCAAATCAATAATTTTTAATAGTTTTATCTAAATTGTTTAACACACAACACAGACATACACGTGTGTTTCATTTGAGTTAAATGATAATAAATAATATTTTTTTACACAAATCCATTATCCATTAGCAAACTAAATGGTTATATATTTAATATATTAATATGTGTTGTTGTTRTTTATTTTATTAAGTAATTGGTATAATATATGAGAAATAGAAAGTATATTATGGTTTGACAGAACTTATCATCAATAGATGTATTTAATTATTAGAACCATAGGAAACATAACACATACACACATAAAAATCAAATTAGTTATGTCATACAAATATATTGTGATATTACAGTATTATTATTATTATATAATATTAATAGATAATGTTTTTATCAATTATCCAAACGTTTCTTGAGCTGCGATAATGCAATCAGTCGTTCATTTCTCCATTTCCTGCGCTCTGGCAATGCCTCGACTGGTATACGTTTATGCATTTCTTCGACAACAATGTCGGCTCCCTTACCACTGAATGTGGGCACCGGTCCAAAGTCATGGCACACACTTTCCATACTTTTGGCATATTTTTCAAAATACTCTTTCATACCGACCGCATTAAGGTGTGCCGTCTCCCACGGTCCCATAAATGCCCACCGCAGACCAAACCCGTCGGCCATAACAGTGTCCACGTCCTCAACACTGATGACATCGTCTTCAATGAGACGATAGGTTTCGCTAAGAACGGCATACTGTATACGATTGCCTACAAATCCATTGACCTCYTTCTTGATGACSACAGGCTTTTGGCCGATCTGTGTGAACAGTGCTCGGGTTCGCTGTACTACATCGGGATCGGTATGTTTATTGGGAATCACTTCGACCAATGGTATAAAATAGGGCGGATTAACCGGATGTCCAACAATAGCCTGTTGCCGGTGTTTGAGCTCCGACTGGAACAGTGAGGGCAGTATACAACTGGTTGAACTGCACAACACCACACTGTCCGACGCTATTTCGTCCAATTGTTTGAAAACCTTTTTCTTGAGCTCCAAATCCTCGAAAACACACTCCTATTATTAGAGWATTAATAAAAAAAGTTTAAAATAAAATTCATCACATAATATACATTTACATTTACCGTACACTAATAATTATTATTATTATACCAATACATTGAAAATACTATGATTTAAATTCGTAAATTACTATATCTTGTCATTCAATTTTAAAAATATTTTTAAAAACTTTATATATTATTTTAAAAATTATATATATATATATAGGATATATTAGAGTACAGGTAAATATTATGCTAACATGTTATCAACAATTTTAAATGGCTCCTACKCTAATTAGTTAAAAATATATATAATTTATATATATAATTGTCACATATGGTGATGACAAGTAATCAAAATTAACTATTTATAAAAATTTCCATCCAATTTTTAAAAATTAATTAATCAAGATAATTTATTATTAATGTGTTTATTGAACTTTAGTTCTATAAATACTAAATATATCTGGATAATTCTGTATAAAATTAGTAATCATTAATTATATTAGAAAATTGTTTAATTGGATTAAAATTCAGTRCTATTTAAATTTGACATTAATATTATGCACCCATTTATTTAGCAAAACTAATATAAATAATTTTTATTTAATCTAAAAWCATATAAAACTACTGTAKAATAGTAACCATATTATTATACATAACATGAGCTCAAAWATGAGATATTGTTTTTATTTTATAAATCTATGAGAACTGTTTGAAAAACTCTATAATATATTAGTGGTAGTCATAAATGTTTTTAAAAATTAACGTTTCTATATGTCAACTATATTAATGATTACATAACTTCCTAATCATTTACTGTAATATCAATAAAAATATCAAACTTTTAATTTAGTCCTTTAACTTATCGGATATACTGTATATTATTTAATGCATGAAATATGTTTGCTATCAAATTAATAGTTAAATGATTAAATGCTTAATCAAATGATAAACATTATTATAAATAAATTTTCTTTCATTTAAAGTTTAGCTTTTATAGTTTAAATTTAAACTAAACTAAATTAATAATATATATTTTTGTAATTATTTAGTTWTTAATGGTATTATTAAAGTATAATATACCGTAAATAATTATGTGCAAATAAAATGTTTGTTTTAGTRGTAATATAATATTTAGTAGAAAATACTAAAATTAATTTCAATCATCATTAACAACATCTATGGAGTATTAGTATTATATACAGAATAGAGTATATATAGAATATATATATATACTTATTATATAAGAAATAGTGTATAAATAAATWAATTTATATTTAAAGTTAGTTATTGTTTTTTAGCTAAAATTCTAGGAATTACACAATAAAACTATTATAACTAATATAAGTATCGCTATATTTACAGAWTTTTTTTTATTAATTTGTTGATAAAATCATATGTTATATAATACTAAAAATTTGATTAAATAATTAAATTTTTGACACTCAAACGTTAATTAAGATAAATAGGATAGTAGCTAAAATACATTTTAACACTGGTAATTTTACATTAAAGTAAGTATTATACACATTATTATAAAATATCCAGGTCATTAATACACATATAACACTTAACTTTGAACAATGTTTATAGAATAATATCAAACATTTCAAAATATTAATACAGTATATAATAATTTTTTAGTAATTAAATGGACAGTACCTGAACATGAATAGCATTTTGTAGGCAATCCTGCAAAGTGTCTGCCTTTCTAATCAAAGCCAACTGTTGTTTTGCATTGATTTTACCCCGAAGTAGTCCTTTCGATTCGAGATCGTTGAGCTGATTCTCAATGCTGACCAATGCCTTGTCTACGTTATCGGTAATCACATCATAGATGGACACATCGAACTCKGAGGCGGCGAACAGCATTGCCCAACTCTGGCCAATAAGACCACTGTATAAATCAATTTAGTCGACAACATTAGCAACAAATTATATATATATATATAAGTGCACAATTAGGTGTTCCCAACCTGCCAACAATACCAATCTTTCCCGATTGACTCATATTTGTGGTGAAAATCAAAGACCAAAAAAACAAAACRACTGTTCTTTAAGTAACAACTCAGGAGACAGACCTTCAAAAAAACTGAAGCAAATACTGAAATATTATTCAACTTATATATACTGCCAGTATATTACAGCAGTAGTTGAAAGTTATTTGAAAACAGATAGTTTTTTAGGGCTGTGCTATCGGCATATCAATACCAATCTAATAACGATTGTCTCTGTTTATGAATATCATTGTCCTTGAAGTGGTTTTATTATGTCTTAWATTTCATAATTTAATTGTCATTAAATAAATAATAGTCCAAATTATTAATCATATTAACTGTATATAAAGTATTAATTGGTTCATTGATTAKTGAATCACAGTAAGAAATTTATGTATAATTAAGACATTCATATATATATATATATAAATAATTTTCATAAATAATAATATACGCAAATAAACAAATCATTTTAATTATTAATTTATTTGATATCTTATTCAACAAAACATAGATCCAAAGCAATCGGAGAATTGATACAAAATGATGACATCAATCAAATCATTTTATCGTTTGCCTCCCACTCTGACCGCCTGTTTTGGTGCTGCCTTTGCAGCCTTTTCCTGTTTCTTTTTACCCGCCTATTCAACAAAAATATTTTAATAAATTAAAATCAATACCAAAAACAAACAGATAATCAGGTTATGACATGTCTGTACCTTTTGTGTCGGCATCTGCTTCTTAGTAGTCTTTTGTGCCCTTTGTTTCTCTTTAGCCGCTCTGCAAACACATTAAAAAAAACCAAAAAATTAATAACACTTTCAAAGCTCTCTAAGCGATAATATCCGGTAAACCAAACCGAGATATAATACACACCTAATAGCCTGTTCTCTCTGGGCTTTCCTGACCTCGGGCTTCATATTACGTTTGGCCAGAATGTCGTTAAGCGAAGCGCCGACAATAGCCCTCTGAAATTTGGTCGTTCGTCGGGTGCGTCGCTTCTGGATATCCTCTTCGATACCTTTTCGATGTTTGCGTCGGTAAAGTACAGTCCACGTGACTTTACGCGGGTTTCGCTTCATGAGATGGGCGGCCTCGCACTTGGAGTTCAAAAATGTGAACACCTGTTAACCAAAAAACATAAAACAACACCAATCAGTATCACTAGATTTAGATTAAGTGGCCAACCAGTGGCCAAATACAACAAAACAACTAACCTTTCCGTCGGCCTTAACCATCCTCTTTCCATGACCCGGGTATATCTTATACCCGCTGAATGAACACGCCTCGATCCTATTGACACAAACAACAATGTGGCCATTAGTATATGGGTTTCGGCTACCGAAATAGCGGCCAACAAACTGATTACTTACTTCATTATCGGTAACTTTTGTAATGTTTAGACAGACATACAAAGGAAAAGGAAATCCCAAACAAAGTCTGACATCACATGTATTCATACAGTCATTGATGTGACTATCAGTGAGACATCTATTGGCTATTATTTTGTGTTAAATCTGTAAAAAATCTGTAAATGTAAAACTTTTTTTAGCACTTATTTTGGACAACAAATTGAATTAATTTTTTTTAAATAAATTMATTTATTATTCATAAAAAATTTAGTAATTTTTTAATCAWTAATTTRATGTATATATTTCTTTAAATATTTTACTATAGATGTTARTTAAWACTAATAGTAGAAAATAAWAAAAAAAATATATATTTTAAACGGAAAAATAAATTAACTAGTTTATCTATATATTTATTCAAAAATAATTAACTTTRTTAGCATAATCATAATACTAATTTATGGATATATATATATATATATTTGATTTACCGGTAAGGTAAAATCTTGATCACCAATATAGTCATTAATTGCATATTACAAATATAAATAATAAAAAAATTGAATTCAAAAGTAATCAATAGATTTATGTTTTTTTTTTTCAAATAAATTTATAATAATAAATTATCATTTGGTAAAATAATCATTTTTATTATAATTAATTAAAAATTTTATTTGATTACATGTAAGAAATTAATTTAATTTATAATAAACTATTACCGTAATTGTTAATTTATACAGTATAATAATATTGAAATCATAATTGCATATAAGTATAATTAGAGCATATATTATTTGTGCAATCCTTTACAATCATAATACTGATAAAATTATTTATGAATTTATAAATATATAAAAATTTGATTTGAATGCTTTAAACTTAATTCATAAATAAATTTTTATCAATCAATCAATCAATTTATTTTCTTTTCTTTAAATCGTCAAATCTTTTTGTCAAATCATCGAAATCTATTTCATTGTCTTTTGATGAGCCATTCGGATCGTCTGTAGGAATGTCCGGCAAATTACCGCTCGGTACAGATGGTAGCTCTGGGAATGAGTCATTCAGATTAGGCTTTGCTCCAGAGTTTTGGTTAGACCGAGGAACAGGTTTCGGAACGGATGGAYCCATTTTCTTGTCATTGGATGGCATAACTGATTCATAATTAGGGGGTAATTCAGAATGCATTGGTTTAACAGGTGGGTGAGTGTTGTTGTTCTCAAAATTAAAGCCAATTGGTTTGGTATTTGGCATCGATGGATAGGGAGCACTTGGTGGGACTGAAGGCAATGGTGGTGGAACGTAAGCACCCATTCCTCCGCCACCTCCTCCTCCACCTTGTGAAGGACCCGATGGGGGAAATGAAGGAAATCCGTTGTTATGGGCACCGCCTCCCAAATCTATAAGACACTGATTTTGTCTATTAATTGCCTCTTCACCGCAATAAACCTCATCTTCTCTGAGAACATCGGCGTCGGGTTCGTACGGGACGTTCTGGCTTTTGGCAATCTCTGCAATTATATTGTAAAATAACAGTCAAATAAATTTAAATACTTAAATAAATTAATGTCAATAAAAACAAATACCAATTAAGTATTTCTCAACCAATATCTTTGGCGGCGCCTGTACTCCCATTTTGATCATTAGTTTCTCGTTTACGGTCTTCAATGCATTCTCACGACACGCCTGTGCGTAGGGCTTACCGTACTTATAGGTCAACAGATCCGATATGACCTTCAGCTCCTGTACATCTGTCTGTAGTCTGGGCGCCACCCAAATCATCGATGATATGGCTTCGGCTAAGCCGTCGTCCAATGTCTTCATTTGTTGAATGAGTCCAAATCGGGCCAACAATAGATCGCAGTACATCTCGACCAACTCCATGGCCTCAACGATATAGTCTTCGCGAATGATGTGCTCTACTCTGATCCTCGCCCTCTCATACTTTCCGTTAACAATATAATCGGCGATCTCTTTGCGCGACTTCTGTGCCAATTCTGTCTTCTTCTTCTCCAACAATTTCAGCCGATTTATAGACAATCGGAGGTTTGTCTTCAGTTTTGTATAATTAACTCCCGTCGACACCATTGTGTGTAGACTTTACTAAAACAATATTCAAGAAGTAATGGAAAACCTAATTATGTATTCAATTAACTGATCCAAACAAATGACTTTACATTTGTGTCAAACGATTAGTTGTTTACAAATATTTCTGTCTTTTTCTGCAATAGCTCTGTATTAGTACTCATCTGTAAGTTAATCATCAATAATGTCATCAAAATGTTTCTCATAAATCAAACCCCATTAACACACAAAATACTAATACATTGTATTAATTACAATACAATACATTAATATATGACACAAAAACCAATTTATTTATTACATTACGTTATTTATTAACATCTGATTTATCTATAAATTCTGTATTATATCAATATTAGTCATACACTAAATCATACAAATATAAAGTAATAAAAATACTAAATATTTAGTACCCTTTAAATAAACTATTGATTAAAACATATTAAAATCAAAACAAAACATTTATTTCCCTTTTAAATCATTACGTTATATATATTATAAAAAACAACGAATTATTTATAACGTGTTGTGATTTCATAAGACGTTTTGATCGCAAATGAATTATCAATTGATCCGCCGATTAGTGTCTCAATTGGGCACTCATTACACCCGATTCGGTGGACACAACACATCGATTATCGCCTCTTATCATGCATTAAGACATTTGGATTCCGATGACAAACGATGGTCACAAGCAATACAAGAAACAACTGGCCGAAGAACCATCACTTCGCTGATGAGGGAATCAAACAAACTCTTAATTAATCGTTTGACGGATAACTTTGTGGACCAGAAGAGGTTTAAAAAATTTAAGAAAGGATCCAAACGTGAAGTAAAAGAGGAAACAAGTGATGAAGAGTCAGATGAAGAGGAAGATAGACCTGAATTGGACACTGAGCTTATCGATGGTAAAGCAATTGGTTTTCAAGATCTGGACATGTCTTTGGTGTCCTTACGGGTCGACAATGTTCTTAAGCATGGGTTTAAAATGCAGAGATCAAAGGCTGAAGAAGCTTTCTATAAGAATCTAATTCGAGTTAATAGCGAACGAGTGGCCAAAAAGAGCTACGAACTCACCGAAGGCGACGAACTCGATCTAATCAGAGGATTCAACTCTGAAAACCAGGATTTGTTGGATGTCTCGCGGATAAGGATACAGAAGATTGAGGACAAGTTGTCACACAAAGATAGGATTAATGTAAAGCTGAGACGGTTTAGAATACTTTCCATTGAGAACTATGAAAGAGATCCTTACGATGGACTGGCCATCAATGTCAAGAAAGCAGAAGAATTGGAAAAATAGTGACTCATTTGGAATAATATATCCAATCATTTAATTGTTTTAAAAAATAACATTAAAAATCTAAACTATCACTGAATTCGTTTCAATTTTGAGATATATATCGGACCATAATTTGATGGCATGAATGGCACCACTTGTGTGCCGTATTTGAATGTATTGTTCATTTTGTAGAGACCACGAAAAGGCCGAAAAGCTTCTTTGAGGTCGCAAACGACAAACACATGATTGGTTTCCTCCCAAATTCGTTTGAGTGCCATATGGACGACACCATCGTTTTGTATGGGAGACAGACTGCATGTCGAGTACACGACTGCACCGTCTGGTCTAACGGATCTGAGTCCGGCGTAAAGCATTTGGAGCTGTTCTTCGGGTAGTCGAAGTCGTTCCTGAAGTCGTGTGTTTTTGAACCAACTGTTGTCGTTTTCAGCCACAGAAAGCCGATCATTGGTACAAATGACGTCCACTAAGACCTTGTCATAGGCGTCGGTCTTAATGATTGTTTTAGCGTCTTTGTTGCTGAACTCAAGAGTTTTCCTCAGGGCATGAATTTCAGGAATATATGTATCAAAAACATTCTTCAGTCGACTACATCTTGACAGTGATAAGTCGTTACATAATTGATACTTTGGTCTTAAAGTCAATGCCATGATTAATGATTTACCTCCGGGTGCCGCACAATAGTCAGCCACTCTATCGTTTGGCTGTATGTTGAGGGCCAGCACAGGTAATATAGATGCGCCGTCCATCAAAAAGTAGTCAAAGACTCCCAATAATTTTTGGCGCTGAGGTGCAGGAAAATTGGACATAACTCCGCGCGGAAATGAATATATCTTAAGAATTTCTGGTATCTCTAGTTTTGTTTCCTGGATGTGCTCTATAGGGATGTCGATATCTTTTTGGTAAAACTCATAATAAGGTGCTTCTGTTACAATCTCTTCGCCATATTTAAGATCTTCGATCGGAACAAAATCATTCAAATCAATGTCCATTTTGGCCGCATTGATGAACGGATCGTCTGAGTCTTCTTTTTGTGATAACATCTCCAGTAGATCTTCGGCGTCCGATACGGAAGACCCTCCACTTCCCAATTCTCTGTCGCTAATATCACTGACCACTACATCGTCGGCATTAATCTCAGACACGTCAACACCAGCCTCTTCAGCCATCATTGCGATCTTTTTGGCCTTCTTTTCGGCCAATAATTTCATCCTCCGCTCCATTCGCGTGTATTTCTTGTGATGTCTCTCGTAATATCGTCTGAGATCAACGGCACCCAATTGTCTCATTTTGATCTCAATATCTTCGTAATCGGCAAATATGTTGACAACCGAACAGTACTTATTTGGCGACAGAAGACCCAACCGAATGGACTTCCAATTATTGCCGTAGACTTTGCCATAAAAGTTGTCGAAGTGTTGTAAAGCAATGTCTTTCGGAATTTTTTTTTGTCGAATTGTTGACTGAAGACATACATCAAAACACATCAATTAAAAAGTGCTGACAGTTGTCAACAATTGCTAAGACATACCCAATGCGCGTATCGACAGTGCATACAATTGATGGCCACTTGTCTTAATCGGTGACAATCAGTGATCAGTTGTCTCCACACGAGTCCAGACATCTCTTTCATTCAAAAACCAAACGATATTTAATAACAACAACGAGTGTAACGTTGTTTATGAACGACTCCTCCACACGTGTATAACACTTGTATTGATAGCTCTGAACAGTCATTACATCCCTTTCCGCTCTGTCTTCACATTAAACTATGGTATGTATTGGTCTTCAGTTATCATTAAATCAGTTAATTTAGTCCAATCGGTCCACTGATTGTCGATTGATTAATATATTACCGATAAAGCAACAATCGGACTGTCCGTTAGATAACATAATTAACTGATCTAATGATTGTTTTAATAAACTGATCAATTAAAGTGATAGTCACTGTAACTGTTGTGTTGTCCATTAGGCTCGCGGTCCGAAAAAGCATTTGAAGCGTTTAAATGCGCCCAAGAGTTGGATGCTGGACAAGTTGTCGGGTGTGTTCGCACCCCGACCGTCCACTGGTCCCCACAAACTTCGGGAATCGTTGCCGTTGGTCGTTATGTTGAGGAATCGGCTCAAGTATGCCTTGACTCGTACTGAAGTGACCAAAATAGTGATGCAGAGGACCATCAAAGTTGATGGCAAAGTGAGGACTGACATCAACTATCCGGCCGGTTATATGGGTATGTATTTTAGCCGATATTTATTACTTTTCCTCTAAACTTTTCTTGTGGTCTCTTCGAAGACATGGATTCAAAATAAAGTGTATTTATGTTCAAAGCGAGACCAATACGAAAGGCTATTAAGTCTTCGGTCGCTTATTACTGTCCAATTGTTTTATGTCTTAAGCATTACCCAAAGATTTTACAATTTTTTATTATTTAATTAATTTTAACAGATGTCGTGACCATTGAGAAGACCGGCGATTTCTTCCGATTGTTGTATGACATTAAGGGACGTTTTATTCTTCACAAAATTACTGGTGAAGAAGCTAAGGTATTATATGAAATGATGTTTACTGTTATTGAAATGACTAATAATTTTTATAATGTATTTCAAATGATAGTATAAGTTGTGTCGCGTAAAGAAGGTGTCGACCGGACCGAAAGGAATTCCGTTTATTGTTACCCACGACGGCCGCACCATTCGATATCCCGATCCGTTGATCAAAGTGCACGACTCGATCCGCTATGACATTGCCACCGGCAAGATATTAGACTTCATTAAGTTTGAAACGGGCAATCTTTGTATGGTGACGGGTGGTCACAATTTAGGTCGAGTCGGTATTGTTACTTCTCGGGAAAGACATCCCGGAAGTTTTGATATCGTTCACGTGAAGGATTCGCAGGGACACACATTTGCCACACGGTATGTCACATGTAGTTGTATATCGAAAAGCTCTTCATTTTGTAGTCATAGATATTGTTTCTCTTAAATGATGACAACTGTAGCCCTAAATGAATCAATGATTAATTGATTAGTCTTTCTGAAGAATGAGTTTCAATTTCATTGTTAATATATTTGATTTTTATTTGAATTGATTGTCTAATTGTTTTGTTTTTTTTTCTGTTTCATAATGAAGATTGTCGTACATCTTTGTGATCGGTAAGGGAACCAAAGCGTTCATTTCGCTACCGAAGGGCAGAGGTGTCCGTTTGACTGTCGCTGAAGAACGTGACAAACGATTGGCCACCAAAGCATCGCATTAATAAGTTTAGAGATAATAATGTATTAATAACCGAAAAAAAAGTTGAAAATAAATTTGATTTTTTGTCACGAAATAAATTTATTTATTTGTTAATCGATTATTAAATTACAATGATTTTTAAGGCACTCATAATAATAATAAAACAAAATTAATGCTAAAATAAAGCTGCTATTAAACTACCGGCACATTTAAATATAAAATTCCAATTTTATTGGTTAACCCAATACAGTGGACAGCACTTCCTTTTTACCGAATATCGGTACCGAAAACTCGGATTAGTATTAGTAATGGCTAAGGCATGGTAATGGGTSGCATAAAAATTAAAGCAGACATTCAATACTGACTGGACATCTATCGTTATCATCAAATCACTTGTTAGCTCTTCATTGATGACAACTTTCGGAGTCATTCTTTGGTTCCAACTCTGGATTATGGCTTTGGTTTTCCTGTTTATCTTCATTTAAATCTTTATTTTCTGACACTATTTGATTGTCAGTTTGTTGCTGTGCTTCCGTTTGAATCAATTGTTCATTTGATTCATTGTTTAAGAGTCCAAGTCGTTCAGTAAGTATAGCCCGTTCCCCTTGCATAGCACGGCATAACTTTTCTAATGTGATTATCTTTTGCAATGCCTTCAAGTGTTCTTCGTCACGCTTTTGTTTCTGTTAGAAGAATATTTGATACCAATTAATGGTAAATAATACTGTAATAACATAAATACAATATATATATATACCTCTCCAGACAGCTTAAGAAGTGCTGTATTACTTGTTTCCCATCTTTGCTTCCACTGTTGGGTCTCTTTTTCCAATTTCTGTATTTGTTTAGACATCCTTTCCATATCCTTCTTGAATCCGCCAAACATTTCATTACTTTTGCCCAAAACTGATTGAAACTCTTCATATTTATTGGTATAGACACCCAATTCTGTTCTGAGTTTGACTTCACTTTGTGACATCTCTGTACACCTCTTCTGTAGTTCAGTAATCATTTGGATCAGCTGTTGCTTCTCTTTAATAAAAATCTGTTTCTCCTGATTGAGAATCAGATCGGTTTTCGTAAACTTTGCTTTCATTAGTTGTGTTTCTAAATCTTTTTGTTTAATAATCTTTTCCGTATGTCTCTCCCAGTTCTCGTAGTGACCCATCAAAGTCTTTAACTTCATGGCTAAGTCTGCGTTTTCCTCTTTCAGCTGAGTATTACGTTTTTGATTGTCTGAAATTAAAGACATTATTTCGTTTAACGTCGACTGAAATTTGTTGGCTATTTCTCGACGTTTTTCTTCTTCCTCTTTGATCTTCAGTAGACTTTCTTCTTTAATGAGTTTATTTTGTCTCTGCAGTTCCCGACAGAGATTTTCGAGTCGCGATTTGGCCAAAACAAGTCGATTCTGTTCAGTCTGGATCTGATCTCTTTCTCGACTTACATGATGTATAGTTTTGTCGCTTTGTTTTATCTGTTGTGTCAGCGATCGGTTATCTTCGCTCACTTCAGTCAGTGTCGTCTTTAAGTAGGCAATCCTATCGGCGTCTGAACTAAATGTCGACAACTTTTTTGCCAATTGTTCAGCGCTTAAGCGGTATTTCGATCCATTCTTTGATGGCAAACGACTAGAAGAACTTTTTGTATCTGATTTGACGTCATTTTTACTATGACTTTGAGTTTTCACTTCGGGTTTCGACTCTTTGATAATCGCATTAGTTTGAAGTGTCTTTGACTTATCGCCAATAGCTGTCTCTTTAACACTTGTGACCACTTTTTGATCAACATTTGTGTTAATATTATCTTTTACTTTAATACTTGTCTTTTCATTACCGGTATTTGTATTATCACTACAATTATCTTTAGTATTATTACTATTATTACTATTTTTTGAAACGACATTATCATTGGTTTTGTTGCCATCGTTCTCATCGTTCAAAGCCTTGTTGAGACCAATTATTTCGAGCTCCAGATCTTTCTGTAACTGAATAATAGTATTGGTATCGATGTGAACATTGGTGTGACGTTTGTCCAGTTTATCGGTCGTCGTCTTTTTCGGTCCATTATCGATACTATCATCGCCACCACCACTGGCGCCGCGAGTCTCCAATATCTCGTTGATCTGATTACGTATTTGTTTGGCTTTATTGCTGCACTCGGACATCACTTTATCGCATTTGGGATCACTTATTTGGATCAGTTTCTGTACCAATGCATCGGCAGTGGCGTCATCGGGACCGTCATCATCGGTTTGGTCAACCGTCACATTGTTGTTGATCTGGACATTTGCGGTGTCCATCTTTGGTCTTCAATAATAACTTCGGGATCAAAGAAAACAATTACCAAAATTAACAGATCAAATGTCAAGACATTGACACCAATTAATCAAATATCATACGGACTATCAAAACACGAGTCTCTTAACTAATCAAATGATTAAATCATTTGATTTTCTGTTTGTTTGTCTAAAAAAAATACAAAAAACTTTTTGTTACTTTAAGTAAACGTTTGGCTAATAATACTAACAATACTATAGTATATTAATAATAATATATTTGGAAAATACTGTAATATAATTATATATAAAAAATTATAACAAATATTAGGATGACTTGAAAAATGCAATCATAAGTCCGATTGAGTGCCAAAAAAAGATTATTATTTTGTTTTAAAAATAGATATTTTTGTTATTTGAATAACGCTTTGAATGAGTCAAACAAAATGCGTTAAACCTATTGGATGTGTGACTACTATATATTGTACACTACTTTACATAATACTTATACATCAATATACTATTTTGACACTCAATAGTCGCAGTATTATTATATTATTATTAATAACATGTATTGTAAAACATATGATATTATTATATTTTATTTATGTTTTTTTTCACTAAGAAAATGCATTCAAATTATTTGTATTAATACTGAAGTATTTTAAATAAAATTTATGTCATATTTGGAAAAAACAGTCGAAATGTTTATCATTTTGATGTCCACATAATGTACTTAAAACATGTGTGTGTGTTGTGTGTGTGTATTATGTGTACAAATAAAGTAATACATTTAAATACAAATACATAAAGTAATACTTTAATAGCTTATAATTGAATTAACAAAACATAGAGTGAGTGATAGGACACACAGTTTGTCTGATAATGTATTTTTAAGTTAAGTTTATACACAGTCTGTACAGTATTAATCAGTGTTGGCAGAGACAAAATATTTGTATAATACAAAGCGTAATATACAGTATACTACAATGTAAAATACATGACCAATTTGGTTTACAAAATTTTTTTAGCTCTACCTAGTGATAAAAGCATTGATATAAGCAAAGTAAATCATGTTTTATAATAATTATAAATTTAATATTATTTTTTTATTGAATTTCATTTTTTATTTTAAATTATTTGATTATTATAACTTAGAAACAACTATTATAATAATAATGCATTTAATAGAAATTATATTTTTACTAAATATTTTAAAGTAATTTTTAACATAATATACAGTATGATATATTAGTTTTAAAATTTGTATAATACATTGTATTTTACTGTATTATACAAAGTCAAAATTCAAAACCTTGTATTTTTCAAACCCTGGTTTTAATACAGTATTGTTAGAGAGTAATACAGTATACTGTATATCAAATAAATTACAAATGTATACAGTATTACTAGGGTTTGTAATGATTCCCAAGGGAAGGAAGTTTCCTAATAAAATCCATCTTATTTTCTCTAATATGGAAAAATATTATTTATATTATTACAATAAATAGCACAAAAACTTAAATATTTTGAATAAAATTTCATTGAAATAGTAAAAAATCAATAAATTTATTCATTTTATTTATCAATACTATTCAAAATAGTATTTTTTTATCTAAGTGTTACATCAAATAAAACTATTGTGGAAACCGAGATAAATCGGTCCCAGATTTTCGGGATTTTAGATCTATGGCCACAGAATTTTTTTTGTGATAATTTTCAATATTTTTATTATTAATAATACTGTGTATATATTTACTAAAATTAAATTTAAAGCTTTAATTATTTGCTAATCATTGCAAAAATGTAAAAATTTGCACTTAAAAATCAATTTGATTCAAACAAATCTATATATTTGTTAAAATTTTACTGAAAAAAAACTTTTGGCAAATTTTTCGAAGAGATTTTTCTAAAAAAATTGATAATGAAAACAAATTGATACTCTCTTTTGATTTGAAACAAACAAACACTTTTATAAATTGAAATATTCCTTATGTTTTAATCTTTTTATATTTGGACTTATTTTTGGAGAGCACCGGAAGGAACCAACAAATTATGATAATATCATATCATTTATAGTGTAAGTGAATTACAAAACAGGATATTAATGGCACCTGCATTGTATTACATTTAAAATCTTGCAATCATTTAAAAACATAAATCTTATGTCAAAGTTAGGCCATACAGTATGAGACACACAGCTTACGGCTGTGTGACTCTGGATGTCCATTGGAAAACAACACAATCCCTGGCCTACATACCAGGCCTACATAGGGCTTGTGGCACTTATTTAGCAAACATATAGAAACATATGTTAACATTTGTCTATTTTTTGAAAAAAGTATTAAACACTAATTAGTTGTTAACAACTAAATAGATACCACTAATAGATATGTGCAAAGAAAGGATTCCCCGCATAACTGATCCGCGACTGTCAACACAAACCATTTGTGTGATACACATACACACACACAACCTATCGGTGCATAGATTTATCCCTTTGGGTCATTGATTTGCTAATTAGCGTTGTTTTTTAAAATACAAATTAAATAACAATTTAACATTTTTTTCCAGATTTATGTTCAGAGTCTTATAGGATTAAAATAAAAACGGTTTAAACTTTAAAAGTTTAAATATTTTATTCATTGATTTATAAGAAAAAAAAGTAAAAGCGTTTTCTTTCAATTATTTTCAAGTTTATAGCATAATAATAATAAAAATATTTATGTTTAAAATATTACTTATTTTTTTGTTAGTATTTATAAACAAATAACAATTTAAAATTAACATTAATGTCAAAATATCAATTATGATATACCTGTATTACAATATTTCAATTTTTATTATAATTGCAAATAGATATTATATTTATCGATTATTTAATATTATATTTTTGTGTAAAATTTCATATTATTGATAGTAAGTAATGTTACATTTTTATTAACTATAAAAAACATTAATAATTTAAATATAAGTCAATAATTATAAGTATCTAATTACATAAAAAATTACATTATTAATTATCTTAAGTTATAAATGCATCAAAAATTAATAATAAATTAAGTCTAAAGTATTTAAAAACTAATATTTATAATTTAAGACATCATTTAAGTATTAGTAAAAATAAAATAAAAAGTATTTACTGTATTAGTATTTAGTATAAACTTTATATACAACTGTTTATACAAATTATGTAAATTGTGTTTTTATAAATGCATTAATGAACTTAAATGTCAGTCAATAAATAAGAAAAACCAATTTATTAAATTACATCTAAAAATAAAATTCAATTTTGATTCATTAAAATTTTGATTGTTTTTATGTAAATTAAATTAACAAACAAAAAATTTTAAAATGATGTCATGTTTTAAAAATCAAAATAGTTTACAAATGGCTTTATGTCAATAATACGATAATATAAATATAATATTTAATATAAAATCAAATTACTATTTTGGCTAAAAAAATAAACACTTAATTCATATATTTATTATAAAAAATTATGAATATATTAAATAAAGTATACGCTAAACAAAATAAAATTAATATTTTAATAGCGTTAATAAGCATTAAGCAAATAAATTTTTTAATTTAAATATCTGATATTCATAAAAATAATTAATTATATTTATTTTTTCAAATTAAAATTATTATTATTATTATTGAGATACAAGTGGCAAAAAAATAAATATAACTTATTATCAACAAAAAAAATGCTTAAAATATTTATCAAAATATTTCAAAGCTATTAACTCTTTTAGTTCATTAATCTGTAGTAATATTATTCAACAACACATATGTCTTATAATTATCTGACATAATATTTATATATTTTTTGGTGCATTTATACTGTATTATCAAATAACTAAATGCACTTATTTTAAACTATTTTTTCTGACTCTGTTTTATGCTAATAATGTTATAAAAATTTATACACAATATAGTACTGTATACTGTATAGTAATTGACTATTTCATAGAAAACTACATATATGTATAAATACTGTTATTTATGTATGCTATATCAATTAAATGGTAACTCTTGGAGCTGATCCCACAACAAAAACATAACAAACGCATGCGTTTATCATTAAAAATTAGTAAAAATTACTCAAATACCTTATGTATCATTTTTTCTAATTATATTTCATAAAAAATAGCAATTACACCCTTATTTTCTAATAAAAGTTCATTAATCCACAACAATGACATCAATGATATCATCCATTATATTGACATTACTATAAGCTATGGGTTCATATCTAACCAAATTGAATGTCTGCCAAACTGTTCCCATTTCGACCACAAGTGTTACTCATTTTAAAAGGTTTTTATTGTTTAATAATACATAATTTTTACTTATATATACAGTGTATAGTACTGTAGATATACGGTACTAAATGTATCACATGTTTTAATATAATACTTACATAATATACTGGTTTATCTGTGGTTTATCTAAGGTTTATAAAAATATAATTTCTTGTTCTCTCTCTCTCTCTCTCTCTCTCTCTCTCTATTCCTCTATAACTTTATATCACTACTATTATCGCTAAAAATTTATTGCCATAAAAATATAATATGAAAATTTGTGGTTTAAAATTTACTGATTGTCATCACCACAAAAAAATTTGGCGTAAAATATAATTTCTTCAGCGAAAGACCTGCCATTAAGCTATTGCTGTTGGGTTTGGACAATGCGGGCAAAACTACCACTGCTTTGCATCTTATTGGAGGTATGGGTGACAGTCTTACTGTATTTTTTTATTTTATCATTTAGTAATTTAGTGACATTTCAAAGCGTTAAGACTATAAAAATGTTTTAATCAATGCTAAACACGACATACAAGAGAGAAAAACGTTGAATATATATATATATTTATAATTAAATAACGTTTTTTATATCTATAAAGTTATAAAACATTCATTAATTTCAAATTGATTTATACACGACTATCACACACACAAACCATGTCCTCATAAAAAACAGATCCACTCGAAGATATCATACCAACCATTGGTTTTTCAAATCTCGAACTGAGACGATATGGCAAATACAGAGTAGTGGTGTACGACTTGGGCGGAGGCGTCCGGATTCGTGGTATTTGGAAGAACTACTTTGCCTTAGTTCACGGCATTATATTTGTTATCGACTCATCCGATATCAGCCGTATCTACGAAGTCAAAGATGTCATCGAAGAAGTGGTCTCTAACGATAAGATTTCTGGAAAACCTATTCTAGTGTTTGTATTTATTTTCAATAATTTATAAGTTATATTAAGTTATATTTGCTTTATTCACACACTTACCCACTCAATTGCTTACTCACTCACTTTCGCTAAAAATTATCTGATCGTCTAATTTTAAAATTATCAAATCCACAACAATAACAATATTAGTGAATTGATATCTATGATAAACTTTTAGTATATCAATCATTTTATTATCAATTGGTGTGATATATTAATATCATTTTATCGATTTAATTTTATAGACTAATAATAGATAAAATAATATTTTTAGTTATTCTCCTAAAGTTTAGCACTTTTTTCTGGGAATTCACACAATCATTGAGAGGTACTGTAATGATAAGGGAACGGGCAGTTTTGATAAGATTTCAAATTAAAACTTAAACACATTTAGAGTATTATAACTATAATTAAAATATTTTCTCTAAAACTTATTTTTTCCATATCAGAAACCAATAAACCAAATACTAAACATTGACACATAGAGTGTATATTTTTAGATATAAAATTTAAATATAAATAAAAGATTTTTATGTTTTGTTTGATTAAATAATTTCTTTTCAGTTTAATTAACAAACAAGACTTGGAGGGAGCGCTGGAGGAACTGGATATCTGTCAATATTTAAAACTAGAGTCCCTTATCAACAAATTTAAGTGTCCGACAAAAGTTGTGAGTAGTATATGTAGTAGTTATGTGTGTGTATGTGTTTTGTGCACCAATTTTTTACATACATTTGTTAATGTTCAACAAATGCATCACTAATATTATAGTATTATGCTTATAAATACATTTTATACATTAAATACCATACAATTAGATACAAATTTAACGCACAGTTTATTGTAGAAAAAATCCTTGAGATTGATATACAAATATATAAATTTATTTATCTGCTATTAAATTTTAAATGCCATAAAACGTTGTGAAAATATATAAAAATTTATCTTTTAATTTAAATTAAAGCAACGATTTTAAAGTGTTTGCAGCTTTCAGAGAGAGAGAGAGAGAGAGAGAGAGAGAGAGAGAGAGAGAGAGAGAGAGAGAGAGAGAGAGAGAGAGAGAGACCAGAATTAGTTGATAAATATTTGTAGTAAAGTTAGTGATGGAAATAAAATAAAAATTAGTTATGCATTACGTAAAATAGCATTTGCTGTATAAATGAAGATTTATATTAATAAACTTATTTTTTTTGAAAGCTTAACATAAGAGACTCATTAATCAAATAACAAGTTATTGTATATTTATATATATTATCCTTCAATAACTATCATCAATAAAATAATAAATATAATAAATAGCTGTTATATTTTAGAGGTACTTATATATAAACTATTTATATATAATGAGTACAYATATATTGACTAATGATTGCTGAGCTGATTATGTGATGATTAGATTTGTTAGTTATCGGAGCGAGTAATAAGTTTATGGGTTTTATTATTTTTATTATTATTATTAGTTTTTATTATCATAATGTTATTTATTATTAGTTTTTTCATTCAAAAATTTGTTTAACACACACAACCACTGACTAAAACCACTAATAATCTGACAATAATCTCATTATACATATAATACATATCAAAATGAAAATCATAGGAAACCTGTTCAGCAAATAGTCGGCCAGAGAATGGGCCCAAAACTGATCCATCGATAGATAGCGGCTATAAGTGGCTGTTAAGCTTTGTGGCCAAGAATTGGGATCAACTCAATCAACGAGTGGAGAATGACTCTAATGAACAGTACAATCAGGAGAAGAAATCATTGGAGGATAGAGTGAATCGGTTAAGAATTAAGAAGTTTGAGGCAAATGAAGACAATGACGACGAACTATACGAGAGTTCAGATAATGAAAGACAATTCTTTGCAAACGGCAATCCATTCAAAGCCATTAAAGATGTCGTTAAAGATGTTGACAAACAAAACAAACCTGATTTGAGTGATGATAACAGAAATAGACTGCTTATGAATACCAATCCATTGAATATTAATTTGAATCACAATAAAACAAACAGTGATATTAAAGTCTTGAATGGAGACAAAGACAATCTGCCAAAGTATGGGTCTTCGCCGTCTGACGAGAGCACCAGCACCGGTGGTTACACCAGCAATGATGCCACCACTGATAGCAACGATATCTTGACAAATAGTCGTCTATCTGGTGATAAGGCCCACCACCGCCACAACGCATCCGGTGATGGATCTCATCAGCAAAAGTCCTATCATATCGATAGCTCATCGCCGGACGCAATGACATTAGATCGAGATATGAATCAATTGGTGAATGAAATAGTCATCAACAGTCATAATAGCCATACAAAAGGTCTATTGAATTGAAAAACATTTTATGTAATCTAATGTAATGCCTATTTATATGCTAATTGAATAATATCTTATTGAATAAGTTATCTAAAAAAATTTCGGCCCTTTTTTGTCTTTGATCTCTCCCTCCCTCTCTATCTCTCCCTAAATAACATGTAATGCAGTATAAATGTGCATAATATATAAAATATGTTTATATATAAATTTATTTTTTCTCAGATTTAATGTTTGATTTTATTTATATATATATATATATATATTTTATATCAGATTTATTAGAGTCGGGAAAGAAGGCAATGAGTCCCGAAAGCAACGAAAACTTCATGACATCTGATAATAACGACATTAATATCAATAATTATTTTCATAATAATAACAACAACAGTCATCAACAATATAGTAATAGTCATAAAAAAGTCAAACGAAAGACTAAAGCAATGAGAAGTAGTAAAGTATCGCCAGATTTGACTAAAAACAGCTGAAAATTGTTTTAATGTTTGTCTAAAGTTTTGAACATTTTTTGATTTTTATATTGTATTTACAGATATAAAAAAATTTTTTTGATATTAATCATACAATCTTATGATATGATATAGAAAAAAGTAGTATTTCTCATATAAATAAAAATTTTTGTTATCAACCAACACTGAAAATAACATTTCATATATTATATAATACAGTATAAACTTTGATTTCATACATACCAGTAAATAATATCAACATTTAATAATAAAAAGTTAATTAAACTGTTTATACATTAAAACAATATACATAATTCATATAACATTAATAGTGTATATATAAGTGTATTTATAATATGACAGTCAAAAATATAAGACATAACACATAACTACTCAAACAAATTTTTTAATATATTAAATACTATTTTTATTTTGGTTGAAAACTAATCGGTTATTGCATTGCATATCCCCCTCAAAGTTATTAAAAACCAGAAATCGTTTTTATTAGTAATATTATTATTAACTGTTTATTACGGTGTGTTTAATATACAGTGTATTTACTTATAAAACTTATAAGTTATAACTTATAAGACATGTTATTATTTATTATATTAAATAAATAATATTTGTAGTAATTATTTAAAAAAATAGTGTGACAGATATTTGTGCGTTAATTTATGGGTTTTTCTCACTCAATAAGTAAATTGAAAAAAATATAATTTTTCAAACGTTTTTAAATTGTATTATTTAATACTTTTTTAAATATAAGTAATTATCTAATAAATAACTGCCGATACCTATTGTTTGTATAGATTTTGTAAAACTAAGATTTCATTAGTCAAATAGGAGAAACAAATATACACATAGTATATACAATTTGTTTGTACGTAAATATATTTAGATATAAAACAAAAGTTATTAAACATATTATGTTTCAAATGAATTTTTATGTTATTTAATATGTCTTGTTTGAAGGGGATAGAGATTTTGTACAATAATTTATACAATAAATATAATATAAAGCTATAAAATATGCTGTTAGTGTACTGTATATAACTGGTACGTGTGATAAAATTAGACTGTTTGGTGTAATTGAATATCAATTGTATGTATTTAATAACAAATGACTGGTATTTTTATATTGTTATTCATATACCAAAAATAAATCATTTATAAATATATTATTTTATTTTAGAAGAGAGAGAGAGAGAGAGAGAGAGAGAGAGAGAGAGAGAGAGAGAGAGAGACTGTGATTTGTTTCATAACTGTCTGACTGGTGTGACATTCCTTTACAGGGATTAGTAAATATAAGATAGTCTTAGTATAGAAATGTTAAGTATTTTTTCAATAAAAAAGTTATGTCACAATTGATAAATGAAATAAAATGTCAAAAACTTTTAATGGATTTAATTTTGTTGTTTTGTTCTATGAATATAATGTTTGTTAAAAAAATAACTAAGTATTATAAAAATTTATTAACTAAACTAAAGTAAAGTTTATTATAATAAAAATGTTTTATATAACAATATATGTAAATAACTGGTTGCAATAATAATAATAATATTTGTCATCGAAAACTTTTATTTCAATCATCAAAAAAAACTTTTTATATACAATATTGTAAACCAATTGGAAACTAGTTTCGGAGTCCACACGACATGGTATGCACTGTATAGTATGCAGTCTTTCACTCACTCACTCACTCACCCACAGTCCCATAGCTCTGTCCGATAATCACAATCTCATGCCAGAGCGCATAGTGAGAGAGAGAGAGAGAGAGAGCCTGGTTGTGGAGGTCCTCCCTGTTTATACTGTATAGAGAATAGCAAAAAATAGTGTTCACCACCAAAAACCTGATGACTTGCTGTATGTATGTATGACTGAGTGAGTGWGTGTGTGTATGTGTATGTGTGTGCCGTTCCTAACATTTTTCATTCATTCATTGATGTGTTGCACTTGTATGCGCCCAAAGATATCGCATGAGTGCCACCAAAAACTTTTTTTCAAAAGATAGATATACCAAAACATAGACTCACAGCGATATTGCAATCAGTTTAGAGAGAGTGAGTGCCGGAGCAACAGTTGTACGCTCACAACAAACAATAATAATAATAACAAAGTTTGATAAAGTTTTTAAAAAGTTTTTTGAATTAAGTTTTCTAACTTTATATACCGGTATATATATATATAAACACTATTTTCTTTAAAAGATAGTTAATTGAAATAATTATTTTGATGAACAATGAAATAACAATAATAGCTATCAAACTGTCATTTCATTTGTGCCTTTAATGAAGTTTCTTATATATAGATATTTTATTTATCGTTTATCTTTAATAAATAAATATAAAAAACTAGTAGTAGTCTCAGTTCCTATTGTGTGATCAAAAAATATGATCAAAACTTTTTAAGCCAATAAAATGCTTGACAATAGTGGTGAAGACGACATCAACGACAATAATTATGGCACTATTATCTGCTAAACCATACACGAGACTACCGATAGTGTCGGTCTTATTCATTATATGGTTCGTTATCACCATTCAACAGGTCCTCACATACGATGTCATCGACAAGTGTCAGCAATCATGTGACCGACTTGTGGTAAATATAATTATAAAATAAATTATTCAATTAAAATACTTTATTCGGTATTTTGCTTAATAATAAATTTAGTATACCTGTACTCTGAATATAAATCTAAAATATGAAAAATGTATTTTAAAAATATTTCTAATACTTAAATGTTGTTATTATGAATACTTTATTAACAAAAATATCAATATACTGGATATTATTTATCTGTATTAAGAATTACACACACATAAAYACACATACACACACACACACACACACACACACACACACACACACACACACACACACACACACACACACAAACACACACAATAATGTACACAAAATGTTATTCAATATATTCAAATATACTAATGTTTATATATATTTTAAATTATATAAAATATATACTTTACAAAAAAGTAAAGTACAGTACTATACTTCCATAGAATTGTCTCATTATTTGTCATTCAATGAAAGCAAAGTTATTCAATTGAGAAAAATCTTTTTTTTTTATTTATTTATTTGTTGTTATTATATTTTTCCATGTTTTCTATGGAATAAAGCCATTACTAATGGTAAGAGTTTATAATAATAATAAGAAAATAAGAAAAATATTTTTTCAACAAATTTATATACCTTTTATATATGTATACAATATATATATGATAGTAGTATTATATGATATATTAAAAACTTATTTTCTCGCAACAAGTTTTTTAATTTATTCTCTCTCATCATCTCTCATATCTCTCACACATACACTATGGTTACGGTATGCTTGGCTTAGCACTGATAGCAAAAAGATATTAAAAAAAATAAATTATAATTATAATAATTTTAATGTACTTTTTCTCTAAAAAAGTAAGTTGTGTTGTGTAAAATTAATTTGAAATTTAATGATCAAAATTACGTTTTCATAAAATTTGATGATCAATGCAAAAAAAAGAAAGATATAGTTAATATTATTGAAAGCAAATTATTGATAACAAATAATCTATTTATTGGTAAATTGATTTTTTAATTACTGTTTTGATTTTTGTTATGTTAAAAAAAAGTTTTAAACATTTGAAAACATAAGTTATTTGTCAATTTTGATTTGACACAACCAGTGAACTGGACAAGTGAAGCGTGTGGTTTGGTTTGTTTTTTGGTTAGCCCTGTAGTTGTTTAGCATTATATTTGATGTCCAGAGACATGACACGGCAGTTGCTTATGTATGTCCAGATGACTGGTGTCATCCCTGGTTAACTAGCAAACAAACATTCAAAAAAAACATCAAATTATTATAAACAAAAAACAACTTTTTTTAGTAATTTCATCAGAAAAATAGACATTTCAAATGAGATGTCTATTTCACAGCAAACGCACCGGACGTTTGAAATCTCGACACAAAAGTTTTTTTTTAGAAAATAGACTTTTTGCGAGTGTGTGTGTGTGTTATGCCGTGTTTTATGTTATACCGAGAGTGCAATCATTTTCCCAGGCGTTCATGCGTTTACCCCTTAGTTTGTAGTCTGAGGTTTTCGGGAACGTTAGGAAGGTTTGTGCACTTTCTCAATGAGATACACAAACTCAGCCATCCCTGACCAATATTACAGGGATACACATGAAAGCTCTCTCTCTCTCTCTCTCTCTCTCTCTCTCTCTCTCTCTCTCTCTCTCTCTCTCTCTCTCTCTCTCATACTGACTATATTTCTATTTCTTATATTTAACATTTATATATATACAGTATTTCTATATTTCTCTGTCCCTATACTTAACTTCTCCCACACTATCGCACGCTCTCTCTCTCTCTCTCTCTCTCTCTCTCTCTCTCTCTCTCTCTCGCATTTACTCTCCCCAACAATAGTAAAACTATGCACTACCTGTGCCTCAAGTCCTACAAAAACTATTTCCTAACACCTGGTCACCGTCACTATACATATCGACACACACACACACACACACACACACACACACACACACACACACATACACATATATACACACACATCAGTGTTGGCACCGGACCTCTCATCGCACAATCCCGTCTTGAAGTGAGGCCCCAAAGCAGTCCTAAGGAACGCTACTTTAGACGGAAATGAATGACTATTATAGTCAATGTATGCCAATAACTAGTGTACGGGACTAACGATACGGTATACACAACAAAGCATTATAAGGCACAACATATTGTAGACGACATCAGAAAAAATACTATACTTTTCTTTTTTTCTTTCCTCTCGTTATTCATAAATAACTTATTCTTAAGGAGAGACCGATTGTTGAAGAGCTGAGACATTCATTGAGAAGAAAACACACACAAAGAAAATACTAAATTACTCACAATATATATATATATACCTGTATTGAGAGCTAACATACAACTCCTAATATACACACCGATAGGTTTAAACAATTATTTACAATTGCAATGACTTTTAGTTTATTTCATGAGTTTTTCTGTTTAACTCTCATTTACTAATAACTACTGAATATATACAGTATATACACTTAATATATTCAATATTATAATAAGCAGTTTTTAAAACTCATTATACCTTTATATATATATTTCTCACTCTCCTTCTCCCGGATAGACCATAAAAAGAGTTTTTGCAGTTATTTTTCGTTTTTTTAAATTTTATTATTCAAGTGTTGATTATTTGAAAGATGAAATGAAATAAAAGAAAATACGTTCACAAAAAAAATAAAACATTTGCCGGAATTTTTGTTTCGTTAACCATCAGTTATTTGGTGTGATTAGCTTTGAGTGAAATATACTCAACAAATAGTTACAATTGAATCGTTAAAAAATAACAGAAAAATTTACTTTATTTTTTATGTGTTATGTTTTGAGGCAAATTGGAGGAAAGGGAGTGCACACACACACACACACACACACACACACACACACACACTAGAATTATTAGCATTTAATAATAATATTCTTGTGCACCAATTATCGGCAAAAATTACTTATTTTTTGTGTTAAATTTATACATAAATATTGAACACATTTTTCTTGTTGTTATTGTTGATGTTGTTATAAGTATACTAAAAAAAATTTTTTTGCCTTTTGTAGTAAAACATAACAATAGGAAAAAATTATAATCAATTATTTTGATGCTCTTTGAATAACCGGAGTTAAAAGGAGTACTTGAAAATAGTTCTGTATTTTTCAGAGTATAATGAATTGAGAAAAAGAGAGAAATAGGAGAAGAGAGGGTATGGTTTTTGGTATGTCTATGTATTGTATGTATAGATGGATAGGATGTATGTATAGTTTGGTATATAAATTTGTATACCATTGAGACATAAAAGTCATTTTCAAAAGAATAATACTTAAAACTTTTTGCTCAAAAATATATATATAATATAATATATATATCGTATATATAAAAGTTTTTGTGGCGAAAAACTTTTTCTCTCGCATTCACTTATAAAATGGCTTTTGTTAAGAGTTGCTAAACTACTCGGAAATGTTAAATGAGGTAAATCTGAATTCATTGCACACAACATATATATATATATATGATATATAAAAACATGGTATACAAAGTGTGTATACTCTTATAGAAAACTCCATAAGCGCTCTCAATGTATAGCATAAGCATAACATCACAACAAATAAAAGCACAAAAATCAAGGAGTGATCTGGAATTCGTACGAATCCTTATTGCCATCACTGGACGGACGGGCAACACATACATACATACAGTACATACTGTATACGCCAACTATTGCACCGACTGTTATGTAGTGTTGTGTTATATACCAGTTTTTTTTCTCTCTCTCACAGTATGTTGTGGGTGAGGCATATAATTGCAGAGAAAGGTCACTCCAAGTGGTGATCCTGGATCTCCTGACAAAATCCATGTATCATTTAATATATGTGTATATATATAAAAAACAAGTGCTCTTTTATTTATTTCATTAAATGTTTGTTTCGATACAATAAATTGATGGTCTCTTAAAATTTACTGTATTTTCATATATTAAATATACATATATACATAAATACATTAGTTTATGTATTATATGTTGCTTATGGCTATCGATATAGTATTAGATTACAGACTAATTGTATACACATAATGTGATCGATGGGCCGTTTACTTTAAAAATTATGATAATAGCATAAACCACTTTGTATAGTAAATTTATAAACATTTTTTTAAACAGTTTAATATCAAAGTTGTAAAAAATAAATATACAATTTAATATATTGTTTGGTTGATGATGATGATGATGATGACTGGTGAATTGAAATAAACAAAAAAAAATCAAATAACTTAAAAGTTTTTTTTTTCAAAACAGATTTATTGTTAGAGCAAAAAAAAATGTTGTACTACAAAAAAAAAGTTGCTCACAACTAATTATTTTTTTTGTTAAATCAATGTTTTTATAAGAAACCAATTTTATTGCGTGAATCGCATCTAAAATTACAGAGTAGCACAACATTTACCTCAAAATAATTGTCTACAGTCTATGTATGTATGTATGTATGTGTGTGTGTGTCTGTCTGTGTGTGTGTGTGTGTGTGTGTGTGTGTGTGTGTGTGTGTGTGTGTGTGTGTGTGTGTGTGTGTGTGTGTGTGTGTGTGTGTGTGTGTGTGTGTGTGTGTGTGTGTGTGTGTGTGTGTAGTGATGTATGCAATAAATTTAGGTGAAAGTTTTGACTTCTGTCTAAATTATTAGATATTTTTTTCGTGGAAATTCATGGTTAGACCTTTAGCCTACTGTCCCCATAAAAAATGCAAATGTTATTTTGTATACATTGTATAATTTAAAGAAACATTTTATACAATCAATGAATGGAAACAACTGTTGGCAACCCTTCTGTCAAAATATTTTTACATCACTTTTTAATTCACTCATTTGATTGCCAGCACATGTATGCATCAGACATACAGATACCCTAATCTTTCTTAATGTTTTCTACTGAGAGATAGATGTATGACTTGTGAATCTAGTGGTACGAGCGATCATTTGTTTTTAGCAAAAAAAGATTACCGTTTGAAACATGAGAGTCGCCGACAGTGGCCACCAATTGTGGTACCACTACTACTACTAATGATGGCACTGATCTATGAAATAGGACTGAGCTGGTTGACTGATTATACATCAGTAATTTCAATGTAGAAACACAACAGTCTTTTTAAACTAAAAGCTTCATTGGTTTTTACATATAGTGAAACACCATTAGATATGTCTCTCATGCGAACCCGTGTGTGTACACACCTATCTATCTCCCGGTGCCAAAATGCCCGGTGATCTCTGACTGTGATTTTTTAATTAGCTTCCAATGTAACAGATAACAGATTGACTGACAGTGCGCTTTCGTATAAAATATATATTTATTTATCAATACATTTATTTAATAAATTTTGTTTTATACGGTACTTTATATACACACACAGTGTATATACTTATTTTTTTCATTTAAATGTTGAACTCATATATACTGACATTTTATGCACAAAAAAATATATTTATCCAATAAATTCTTGTTTTCTTAATTTTTGTTTTGCATAAACTTTTACTATTTGAATGAATATTTTAATTAGATTCAAAATGCCAGACAAGAAAAATTAATATATATATATTTATTTTTAAATATTTAAATAAATTTTTATGTATATATTATTAAATAGATAAATTTTTAGCAGACAAATAATAATATAAATAACAAGAGAGTGGGGCCACACCTACTGTTTATTTTTCAATTCCCAGGCATATCTGTAACATATATTTTTTTGTTGAAAATATTTTAAAACACTACAAATTTCTTACAATATGTTATATAAACGATGCATAAATGCATAATAATAATAGAAAAATAAAAGCATTTTGTTTAACAACATGAGGATAAATACCTTAATATTATTTGTGTAAATGTTTATCTGCTAAACATTACTAGAAAACATACTAATACTGTATTTATTGAAATGCTTTTGTATTATACTGTGTGTATTGTATGATATTATATGATTGTATAATAGGCTATTGAGAAATATCTCTTTTGACTTAAACAATAGTCAATAATCATAATAAAACCACTCATTAGAAATATTTTGTCAGCATTTTTCACAAGCGATCAACAGTTGGGCCATAAAAATGCTATTTATAAACAAACAGATATCATAAAGCATGCCATAACATATCCAGCCCATCCATTTCCTCGCACATGTATATCACACATATACTTAATATACTGTATATTTACAAACAGACAATAATATTATTGAACTAATGAAGTGAATTACACTTTTCTATTATCATAGCTATTGTCTTATATAAACATATGCTTATACAAGAAAAAATTGATTATTTAAGGGCTAAATGTATCTCTCAAATAGTTAAACTAAAAAAAAAGTTATGCATATAGTTTTGTTTCGCTTACTCGGGTTTAGTACCACACGTAGAGTAAAGCAAATTTTTTCAAGTGCTTGAACTTCAAAAAAAAGTTATGAATAATTTATGAAACATTTTTTTTGTTTATATTTTTTTTGGAGAAAAAAAAGGATTTTATAATCCTTAAAATTAGCATAAAGTCTATGAAAAATGAGAGAAACTTATTAATAAATAATAATAATGTCTATACCATTAGAAAAATTTATTGCTTTATGTATTTTAACCGAAATATATATATATAATACATATATATCTTATATATATATCATAAAAACGAGTTCACCACAAAAAATATATACACCAAAATTTTTCGGCTATGAATTTACTACTGAATTGAAAATTAATTAATTTTATTTCATTTTGAATGAGAGGAGACATATATATTGTAAAAAATAATAATAAACTACAGTTAAAGGAGATAATATGCGTGTTCATTCATAATATATATAATATAAAATATATTTGACTGTCAATGAATAATAAATAACATTATAATAAGTTAATAGAAAAATAATAATAATAAATAGCAATTGTAATAACATGAAAACAATTGCATTACTTAACCTACACTTCACTAACAAAAAAATTACTTTAAATTTTATAACTTGAGGTCAATAGACATCAATTAATAATATTTCATTATTATTAGTGCATAATATAATTGCACACAAATTTTAACATATAAAATATACGCCAAAATAAAAAATAAAATATTATTGCTTTTGATTTGCATAAACTTAAGTAAACTAAACTAAAAAAATCATAAATTAATAATTTATTTTATATGCGGTTTTTATGCTTTTTAATATCTAATATTGAGATATTTTTACACACAAAAATCATTCATAAAAAGTAGGTCCGTTTGAATGAACCCCAAAAAAATAGTATTACAGAAAATAAATAAAATTAAAGTTATAGCATTTGCTAATAGTATAAATAGTAATACTGTATTATTTTTAATAATAAAAATTATTTTACATTTATAGTCGTATTAAAAATGCTAATATATTTTTTCGTGTACAGATAAATAGGGAGTTGTTAGTAAAGTTATTAAAGTTAAAATTAGGAGGTCATGAGTGCCCCAAAAAAAATAATATTAGCTGTATTTTTTTATTTAGTTAAAATTTATTTTCAATTGATAATTTTGTCTGTAATATGTTTAGCATTGAAATACAGAATATATTAACTCATAACAACTACTACTACAACAAATTTATATCATATATATTGGTATAGTATATCATATGATAAATAATTTGTAATACAAGAACCACTATTTAGCTTTCATCCATACATTTTTAATTGATATTTATATTAAATACATTTATAATTAAATGAGGCTTTTTCTACTGTAATCAAATAAATAAAAAAATGAGTCCACAAAACGTAATTAGAGAAGGGAGAGAGACAATCCCTGATATATATATATATATACTGTATATAAAGGTTTAACGGTTTTTATCACAAATTACAATTACATTAAATTTCAAACACACATAATATTTACACATAAAAAATTTATAAAATCGATTAACACTAAAAAAAATACGTGAATAAATATTTGGCTTAATTAACATAAAACATATATAATTATCACATTTTCAAGTGTATATATACGCACATATTATATATAATTATGTTATGTATACTAAAAACTAAGCACTAGTAGACTGCATGAAAAAACCATAAAACTACAGTATATTAAAACTAATATTTTTATTTATAATCTTATTTTGAATAAAAAAAATAATTATTATTTATCTTTTTTAAATATCAATTTATTATAGAATCTCGAAGAAAACGTATTTGATATAGCATGCAATGAAACATGTAAATTAAACCAGGTAAGTCTATTTTTATCAATTTATAAAACTATTTTTTTAAAAAGACAATTGATTTACTAAAGTAATTCAATATTAACTGTACATAATATACAATAATGAAATGTTTAATATAAGATCAAATTGTAAATATAAATTGTAAAAATACTAGAAAAAACATAATAAGTTTATGCTTATTATTGTTATTTATATAAGACTTTATTTATACTAATTGGACAATGGTAATAATTGTTTGTTCACTGTAGCATGGTAATGGGAATAAACTTTGGTTACCCCGAAACTTAAATAGCGCCACAAATAATCAAAATGCTAAGCAATGCTTTTTTTAAAAAAAAACTTAAAATAACTAAAGTATCGTAATATGCATTTGCAATGCTTTGGCAAACTTTGAAAATGCTGACCAAAGCCATATAATTGGTAGCAATTTAAATCATAACTACCATACCATATAACCATACCATACCACACCATATAATGCCATAAACAGTATATATACTGTACTGTAGTTTTGAGTCCACAAATTACAAATAACAACACAATTTACTCTTGTTTTAATGCTTTTTGTAAAATGACATCAAATGTCTCATTGAGTGAGATATGCATCGATGCGCTTCTCAAACCATTATAAATATCACTTTAATTTCATTGCCGTAATATTGTTGCTTCAAATATATGTGAGTTTATTATATAATACACAATATACTGTATGGTTATTATTATTTTTTGTTATCTTTACATTTAATATATAAAATATATCTCATATTATTATTTTTTATTATTTTATTTTAATAATTTCCATTTATAACATTTCTCAACCTTGATTATCGTACAAATATACTGTAGATTATGTTGTTTTTATAGTATGCGCTTCAATTGATTATCAAAACACAGCGGGAAAGTAAAATCTCTCTCTCTCTCTCTCTCTCTCTCTCTCTCTCTCTCTCTCTCTCTCTCTCTCTCTCTCTCTCTGTCGGTTTATATACAAATATAAGACAAATATATAAATTATATAACACTCATAATTCATTTCATCTCAAACTTTATGATATTAGAAAAAACACTGTTTTCTATGGCTTTTGATTATCGCATTGAAATATTGCTAATATGTTTAAGGGATTAATTGTGTTATATATATATACATAATTATATCATAGTTTATATATATATGTTTAACAACAACAACAAAACTACTAATAATATCACAATATTATTGAAAGCCTAGTATGTGATGCAAACGAGCCATAAATTGGGAGTCAAAAGACATCAAACAGTATTATTTATATAGTGTTTAATAAGGAAATTGCTATTAAAGTCACTCATAAGTTATGATAAGTTATTATTTATATATAACCTTAAATACTTTTATATGTTATACATTTAAGTGATGCTCCATTTACCATAACCAACAGTGCCAGTGGTATATAGTATACTATATATATGTATACAATATATAAGTTATATATTATTTAATACTGTATAATACATAATGCTCTATCATTTATTAGTTAAAAACAGCAATTTAAATACTGTACATAAATTAATGTTGTTGTCAACCATCACTCAAGCTTACTGTGTAAATAAAATTGTATTCACCCAATAATTGTTATTATTATTTGAAAATTACTATTTCAAAAAAAACTAAATTTATATCAGTTATGTCAGTTATATCATTTAAATTATATTAATAGTACTGTAGTTTCATGTATACTATGAAACCAAATTATCATTTGTTGATATATTATTTATATAATATTAGGGTCTATCTATCTGTTTGTTTGTTTGTTTGTATGTTTGAACAAAATTTTTTAATGGATAGTACTGTGAATATAACTAACTAATAGGCAAAACAAATCTGTGATCTAGATTTTTAAAATAAAGTTTACAAATGGTATGATTTAATATATTAATATATAGAAAATTAAATGCATTGACAGTAATGGATCCCATTATATAAATATCAATAACATTTATATGAATGACTTACTTTGTATTAATGAAAAAAATTTCCAACAAACAAATAAATTGATTCATAAAAAAGTTAGTTGACATTTAACCCTCCAATACATATCATATCCTATGTGTCTATAATTTTATTTATTATTATTTTTTGAAAAATAAAATTTTAATTTATATTTTGCAATAAAATTCCTTATTTGTATACTTAGTTTTCCAATATTTATTTATAGATATTTTCCTGTCATATATATTTATAGCAAAAATAATTTTGAATTTAATTATATTGGAGATGAAAAATCAAATATAATATTAAATCTTATATCACATCAATGAAGCTATCATAATATATATAATTTTATATATATACTGTATATAATATATAAAAAATTTAAACTATTTGTGTTAGTTAATATTTATAGACTATATATTTATTGGACACACATTAAGAAAACATGTTTTCTAATATTTGGTAAATAATTATAATTCATTAATTTATTTTTTGAGAAATTTTAACTAACTTATATATATATATATATATATATAGAAAAATGCAATTGATTTTTTATATATCCCACTCCCACAACATTTTTCATAAAACATATTTTGACTTCACTCTAAAAAACTATTAAAAACATAGCTATACCCTCAATGTTGGTCTCATGTCAGGCACTCATATACTCGCACACCGATTAGGTATACATTTACAGTATACATAAGCATACAGTTTTTGACCTGAGTTTCCGTTCAGAGACTGCACAGGTATGTGTATGTGTTTGTATGAATTGCGTCGGTTTAACATTAATAGCCTTATTATACCCTTCTCTTTAAACACAACCGCACCTCCACAACAAAGCAATAGTTAGTTAGGGCTTTAATATATGAAAACTTTTTTAATGCCATTATATGCCGGTGCGCCTATTTTTGGGTCTCTCTCTCCCTCATTACCTACCTGTACTGTTTCCCCTCTCTTTTTCTCTCTATGTCTTTTGTTGGCACTATTATGAAAATCTGATCGTTATTATTCAAACAATAATAAAAAAAACTACAGTAGAGTAGTAAAGGTGGAGATGGATAGAGAGAGAGAGAGAGAGAGAGAGAGAGAGATGAGAGGGACTCTAGTGAGAGAGGGAAAGGAAGTTACGCCTCACTGCCTATAAGTTTCATCCCGGAAATCAATTTATTAGTTACTTATTACTGTTGTGATGTGATGTTGATAATGATTATGATGATTGCGATGCCCCACACATACATGAAATTTATGACAAACCTTTTGAGCTTTTATATGTCAGACAACATTATTATCCACCAATGTTTTGATGTATTATTGGATCAGACATTTCAATACATAATTTCTATTTCGGGCAAAGTATGGATCAAATAGAAAAAAATTATGATTTTTTGCTCTACTTTTTCTTTGATATCCCAAACGTCAAAGTCATGTAAAATCATTATAAATCATAATAAAAATGTATAACAAAATGGTTTTGAGTTTTTTCCCACACACGTTATATATTTAGAATAAATATAACATATATTCATATTTATTATTGTAAAATATTTATATGATTTTAATGGTATTTTTTGCTTTTATATTGACCACATGTGCCATAAATTTCTTAAATAATATATAAAATAGAAAAACAGCAGAATATATTAAAACACAAGAGGACCGGTACTATATAAAAAAAAATTTGATTTTTCATTACATTTTATAAAAATCTAAGTTTAAACTTCAATATTTTTATGATATGTTTTTTGGGGCGAATATAGTTTTCGCCTTTCATTAATAATTTAATAATCATTTTTTTCTTGATATTCCCATATCTGTCTCATAGTCTCTAAAAATTTCTATACCTATACCCTCCCATCCGAATAATTTATAAAATAAAAAATAACTTTTTTTTGTCTCTCAAAAAAATATTTATATATAACATAAACCATAATATAGATTTTGTTGCAAATAATTTTTTTGAGAGTCAAATTTATTTTGTATAATAATTTTTCTTTGTGCTTAATATACGCTTATTATTGCACTCATTAAAGCCTTATTTAAGGCTAAATAAGTGTATTAATAATATTTCAGACGGCTTTTTATTGCCGTTGAATTTAATTAACACTTAAAATATTAAATTAAGAGAATAGTTGTTATACTGTAGTTATAGTTGAAAATATTTTTTTTCTTCAAAATCCTATTGATTATCTAACGATTTTGGGAATTAACTGTTATATTAAATATTGAATTTATATATATAATCAATCAATCATTAGTTTAATTGAATGCCCATAACCTCAATCATAACCCCAAATCATTAATTGATCGCTTAATTATTATTTTTTCTTGTTTTTCCAATAGTATATAATTATTGAGATTTTTCTCCCTATCCCTCACTCTCTTAACGAGTTATAACTTATAACTGCAATAAACATCTGTTGTAACGCTATTTGATTTTTTTTAAATAATAAATTATTGAATACCTGTTCTATTATTTATAATAAGATAATCGTGAGATAGCTAAACATAATCAATAAGTCAGAGAAAACAATTTTATGAGATTTTTTATTTCACAGGAAACCATTGAAAACTGTTGTGTCTGTCAATAAGCTCTAAAACAAATACACTATTATAAAGTAATATAACTATTTTTTATTAAACAAATGTTTTGTTTTAAAAAATTATTTTTTTTTTGATTTATATTTGTGAACATCATATTATGTCTGTGTGTTTAAATGAATAATGTTTACTATTAGAAACAAAAACTAATATAGTTTTCCGTCAAAATCGCATTTTTAAAAATTTTTAAAACTTATTTTTCAATTAGTTGTGAAAACATATATATTAGTTTTATGATTTTTTACTTATTATGTGTACATACAGTTTGAGAGTACATTTTTATATGATATAGTAGTATAGTATAGTATAGTATAAATAATAAGTCAAATATTTAGTTGTTTTTGTTGTTGTAAAAACCAAATATCAATATAAATTCCTTCCCAATAGTGAGTACTTAATGTGAATTAGTGTTTGTATTGAATGAAATGTGAGATTCATTATATTTAGCTTTATTTATATATAAATATTTAATATATAAATTTATATATATTTTAAAAGGAATTCTATTGCGATAATATTATGGTTTCAAATTAAAATAAATAAGTCATTTAGTATATACAGTAAATAAAATGTAAATGTTTTGTTATCTTAAAACATAGTAAATACTTTTAGAGAAAGTTGTTTTTTATGAATATTTTTTAGACATATATATGATAATTATTGACTATTTTTTTAGGCGACTCATTGAGTGTCGGTCTCTCATTTCGTCCAATGAATGATTACTTTATATACAACTTTAAACTTTTTTACGCCGGAAATAGTGGTTATGTTTTATATTTTGTATAATTATTTTAAGCGACAAAACATAAACTTTTTTTTATTCATCAATTCATTCATCCATTTGTATATTTATGAATATACAGCCCATTCATTGTCATACAATATTCAATTGATAAGTTAAATAAGTTATACAACTTTTTTGTTTGTTTGTAAAAAGCGGAAAAATACTTCATTGATATTGTATTTGAAAAATATCGACATTTTTTTACTCAATTGATTCATTCACATAAATTATATAATAAAAATCTTTTTTTGATTTTATTACAACTAAACAAAAAACAAAACAACTATTATATACAGTTTTGGGTAAAATTTACGATTTATTTTAGCAAAAAATAACATAATTTTGTGGCAATAAATTTAAATAAAACCCAAATAAAATATATTGCCAGTCATTGGCTTTGAATTATTTATAACATACTAGAGAGAGACCTCTCAATACAAATATCACTTAGAAGTGAGAGATTTTTTAAAAATAACAAAAAATATTTTGATTTAAAATTCAAGCACTCAAAATATTTTTTTGCTATTTATTTTTATTAAATGTGCAAAAAAAATTAGTATCAAATAAAAAGTGATGACTTTATACCATCTACCAGTATATATATTCAATTTGGCAAACATTTAAAATTAAATACTAAAATATTACACACACATACACACACACACACACAAATCTGGGCACTCCAATAAAACATTTATTTGACTATTCAATAATGTATATTAAGGGGAAAAATCAACTAAATAAACAAATTTAAAAAATCAAATGTATATATAATTTGTTAGTGACATGACGTGTAAATTAAATAATTTTCAATGATTATTGTTGACAGAGAGCTAACGTACAGTACAGTACATCATAAACTTATTATAGAAAAAAATTATTAATATATACTCTGTGTATGTAATGCCTAACCACAGGTTTTTTTTCCTAATACCTTAAAAGTACTTTCAATCAGTCAATGTGTCAAATATCGAGTGCTTTAGTTAAACAGTATGTCTCTAATTGTGTGTTTGTTAGTTGAAAATAATTTTTATTTAATTTTCAACCATCACCAGCACCAACCGATAAACTACACGAGCGAAATACTATTACTACTACTATAAGTTGGTTATACTAATACAGTATAAATAAATTTGTTTGAAAAACGTGAAGTGCACTCCAAACACACTTTTACATACCCTATCTATCAATGAAATACTGCATATACTCTCAGAGTATATATTATATATTATACACTACTTCGTGATTATCACACGTTTTTCTTAAGTACACAAATTCATACATCTCTTTGTTTTTATTGCTTTTACTGTTTGTTTACTATCGTTGGCCTATGAATGGGATATTTCAAGTGAAAGTGTTTGCAAATAAAGACTTTGCACTTTTTGGGCGAAAGTTTAATTGTTGGCTAAATTGCTATTTTAGGTCTCTCTCTCTCTCTCTCTCTCTCTCTCTCTCTCTCTCTCTCTCTCTCTCTCTCTCTCTCTCTCTCTCTCTCTCTGCTATTGTCATTAATATAACACATATAACTTATCTCAAAACCTCATTTTTCATTATTTACTATTAATAGTAAATTAGCGATTCATAAATGGTGTTAAAAATAAATTGTACATGGTATTACATGGATATTTATTATTATTTGACATCAATATATATGTGCATATTTATCACATTTAGTAAATGCTAAATAAAAGAGTTTATATATATATATATATAAGTTATAAATTTATACAATATATATATATATAACCATAAATCACAGTAAAATAATGTCTGCTTTTCTTATAATAGTTGATATCATGAAATGATATGACCGTAAATGTGCGAAACAATAATGACATTAATTTGCATTATTTATTATGTAAACCACACAATGATTTGCTACTACTAACAACTACTTGAATAGTTAATGCAATAGTTTGAGTGTGTAATATATGAGAAATAAATTTACTTATTTTTAAAAACTAAAAAACTGGTAATAAAAGACATTTTTCATTTTATAAAAAAACTAAAGATTACTTGTCATTCAGTCGAAAAACATTTATCATTTTAATAGACTTTGCATTTGGCTTTTTTTAGAGATCAGTGTTTAAAATCTCAAACTATATATTATATTTTGATTTTTTCTGTTAAAATACAAATTATTATGTAATAGTAAACAACATATTTCTCTCCTTAAAAAGATATATATGAAATATCATATACAATGTATAATATATATATATATATAAGACATTTCAATAAAATGTTATTTTTTGGTTTGAAAAATGCTTCACTAATTAGAAAATTATTATCAATATATTGTATATTATATCCATTTGGACATAATATATAGTTTAAATGATATATTAGCTATTTTATTAATATAATATATAATATCAAGGCTAAAATATTTTTCTGTTCATAATGTTTATACAGTCTAAATGGGAAATATTTATCATTTAATATATGCACGTGAAATTGAATACTGTTTTGTTAAAAAATATATATAAATATATTACATTTAATCTATTTTGACATGTTTTATGATTAAATATTTATAAATATATATATATGCAATAATACTAGCAATAAATTGGTATAAATATTTATTAAATAGAATTAAAAAAATATTTTCTATTTATAATAATATACTTTATTATTGTATATAGAAATGTATGGGAAAATAAATAGACCCAAATTATATTTCAATAACAAAATATTTATCTAATTTAATATATAGATGGAAAAAATAAAATTTTTATATTTATGTTAATTTGTGTGATATTTATTTACATTAATAATATTTTTCATTTTAAAAAATAATTTAGTGTTGGATTGGATGCCAAAGTTGGACTAAAGCCCAGTCATCGTGTACTCAGGCCTGCAATGACTCGACTACTGTTAACAATTGGGTTAGTGTCTAATACACTGTGTATTATTTATGTATTAATAGTTATCAAATGATAGGATTACCTTGATAATAATTTATTAAACACTATTTTATAAAATCAATTTGAAACCAAATAAATTTTATAATTTCTGCTTAATTATTAGTTTAATGAGTGTGTGTGTGTGTGTGTGTGTGTGTGTGTGTGTGTGTGTGTGTATGTGTTGCCGCTTTATATTCTATATTATTATTAATAAGTTATATATGCGTGTATGCGGTGTAATAATAAATGATACTTAAAGATAATATACATTATTATTATTAATATGTAAAAGAGCCACAAGTGTCTGATATCTCGTAAAAATGACTTTTATAAAACAAAACAATATGATAGAGAAAAGAGAAACAAATTAATGTTCAAAAAACACTATATATTAACATAAAACAAATACATTTTGATGAGGTATATAATCACTTTGTGTGTGTTTGTGATGTTATTTACACTTTTTAAATAAATATTATATTATATAACTTATATATAAGAGATGAGCCCAATGTCTGGAATTTCCAGACAATGACTGAGACATACATACCGGTAAAAAGGCATAGAAAATACAATAAGTTGCATAACTAACACAAAAAAATAATAATAAATAACAAAAACTATATTAAAAAAAAGATATCGTTTTGTTTGGCATCTGCCTAACCCTTTTGCTATGCTATCCAAAAAACAATAGGTGCTGTATTGTGTGTTGGGCTGCAATCACGCGCTCAGTGTATATATCGATAAAATCAAGTCAGAAGTGGGGACACCATTGGCGCCATATCTGGTGGCCGATACGCTGACCAACGAATCGTTGACCATTGAATGGAAGCGATCCTCATATGACAACATCACATATCTGGTGCAATGGAGATATGAACAGTTAGGTGGAGACTGGAACTACTATATGCCGGACACACCGCTCAATACTAGTCGTGTAGAAATCAAAGGTCTTAAGGCGTACACTGAGTATAGGTTTCGAGTGGAATGGATTGTCTTCCAAGAGTACGGTATGACACTGTTTTCGCACCAGAGTGTCGACATCCATACGCTGGCATATGGTGTGCCATCGACGGCGCCCACCATAACCAGTGCAGTAGCAGTCAGCGCTACCCAGATCTCTGTTAGCTGGGAGGCGCCCCGTTTTCCAAACGGTCCCATCATTTCCTATGCCCTATATATCAGTGAATATCCAAACGGTACGGCCGTTGTCAAAGATTTACCGAATTCACACACAAGTGATGCACACTTACAGATGAGACATAACAAGTCTCTGCATTATATGTTTAATGGATTGAAAGCCAATCAAACATATAATATATCAGTTCTGACCCGAAATAATTTCGGTGAAGGACCTAAAGCACAGACTAATGTTACAACACTTGAGTCAAATATATATAACATTTATGATAATGAGTCAACTACTATACCGGAGCTCATACTGGCCACCGATAAGGTGGTGCTCCGCCGCGATCCTGAGTTTCCCATTGATGGCGATGTCATATTCAGGATCAGTGACTATTCAAAGACGGCTGATATAAATGGATTGGCCGTTCATGTTCAGCATAAGTATCTCTTTGTGTCGGACACATCGGGAACTGTGCGCCGCATTTCTCTAAAAGACGATAATAACAAACAGATGCGGACTATTGTGCGAAACCGCAGTCAAAAACCGTCCCATTTGTCGGTCGATTGGTTGGCCGATAATCTGTATATGATTGAAGAAAATAAGATCAGTCGCTGCAATCTCGATGGCGAACGCATGGAATCGGTTGTCACCGGTTTCAAGACAAGACCAGCAGATATGAAAGTCGATCCATACAATGGATATCTGTATTGGCTGTCCATAAGTGATGTAAACATTGCTAGTCTTTACCGAATCGATTTGGCGCTCATTGCCAACGATGTTATGGCTTATAATTACGGAAATCTCATACTCCAGGAGTCATCTATCAGTACATTTGCCGTAGATTTTATCAATTATAGACTCTATGCGCCCATCAGTCGGGAGGCGTCAATCTTTTCCATTGCTATCGATGGCAACGATCGGGTAAATGTCAGACAAAACTCTCAGCGGAACGATATTCTGGAAAACATCGAAAATCTAGTTGTCTTCAGAAATCGTTTTTTCTTTACAAAAACCAATGAAGTGTTCAGTGAAGAGTATGACAAACAAAATGACAAATACCATCACAGCTCCACTCAAATTGATGCCAACTCATTGGTCTCATTGTGTGTCTTAGACTACGAGAGTCAGCCCTATCCCATACCATTGAATCCCGTAAAGAATGTTGAGGCAATCTTTTTGGACAGATTTGCCAAAATTGTTTGGGAAAAGCCAGACCTGTTGGGTGACAAAGGACAGGGAGCGTGGCAACAGTGGTCATATGAGGTCAGCATTGAAGAAACCGAGTCAAGGGTTACATTTTTCGATAAGGGCCTAACCCTCACCTATTGTGAGGCCTTTGAACTCAATCCGGACACGGAATACAATATCAGAGTCAGGGCTTATAGTAGGGCTGGTAATGGCTCGTGGAGTCAGGCGTTTCACGGAAAGACATTGCATTCAATAGCCAAGGGGTCGAGATTTCCGTTCGCACTCTGGAGCACAAGGGAAGGGGTCCTCAAGTCTAACATTGTTGGCGATAGAGTCGAACATTTGGTCCACAGGATGAACATGAATGGTAGTACAGTTAATGGTATGTACTGACAGTATATACAGTAGTGTATACTGTTTAATGTTTAAACTTTAACCCCACTGTCCCTAATCTACTATTATCACCAGCACTTTTACTTTTCATTTACTCAACTCCTTTACTTCTATTTGTAAAGTGATATAAGGATTAGTAGAAAATGTTTTGAGTAAATATTTGAGTCACTGTATTAGTATACTATAAATTATATTAGGGTTAAAATTGTTATACATTTATCACGAATAGTGATTCACTATCTGGTGTACTGTATATTAGACTACAAAAAATAAAAGGATTAAAATTTAAATGTTTTGTAATCAAATATTTGCTTATATATTAGAGTTCTCTCTTAATAATACATTTTTATGTAAATTACAATATAAATAATTTATATAATATAATATAATAATGTCAAAATGTTTTGACTAAAGAAAACATATTAAACTAATCCCAAACTTTATTGTATAGTAGTATATAAATCTGTATTACATAACAAAAAATTTAATATAATACAGTATATAGCATCTAGGAAACTTTTTTTTAATTGTGATAAATATATATTAAATTATTCAATTTGTGATATATTCCCACAGATATTACATGGTATAGAGATTTAGTATTTTTTAACGGCGAAAACAATATCTACATATATAACCTAACATCTCACGCATCCCTGACCACAATGAACAATATTACCGGTGCGTCCAGTATTGCTGTTGATTGGATGGCACCCAAGTTTTATTGGTCGAGTCCACAACAAAGAATGGTAAAACCTATTTGTTATTTTTGTTAAAATGACAATCCGATTATAGCTATAATAACTATAATATATTAATTGTTATAATAATGACTTCCGGTACAGATTTCCAGATCCAATCTGGACGGCAGTCAATCAGAGCCCCTACCGATTATGACTTTTGCCAAAGAGATAGCCATAGACTCGATCAGGGGTTATATTTATTGGGCTACCGGTTATAGTGTAGAGTTTTGTCGGCTCAATGGTATGGAACGAAACAAATACTTTGAGACCAATCTGTTCACTGGAAAACACATAATGGGTTTAACACTAAATCTCGACAAAAAACTCATATTTTGGATACTCAGAAGCTATGAATCGGTGGTACTATACAGCGCACATCTGGCCAATCGTGAGGGTGATAATGCCAACTATGTATCGCAAACAATTCAAGTTGTCGGCCATTTACCCGAAACTCATTTGAGAGGACCGCTGTCCTACTATAGCGACCGTATGTTTTGGTTGGAAGAGCAACAAAATCATGCGCTGATTAGCGGTGAGAATGGCGAAGATTTTGCTGTTCTTAAAGGATTAGGTCTTAACGATATCAATACAGTGGCTGTCGTGGATCCATCTCTACAACCAATTCCATCAGAATTTACATCAATAAGCGAAGTCCAAGTAATACCCAATGATCTCAAGGAAGAGGATATCAAACTGACCGGAGTTTGGGATAATTTTACGATATTCTGGAAAAAGTGTGAAAATGTAAACTATAATCAGGTTTTCTATGAGTTGGTCATTGAAGATAATTATCAGAGTAGCAGACAGTCTCTTATAACACAAAAAACCAAATATCCGTATCCAATGGTCACCCATTTGCCGCCGTATTCAAAGATCAAGTTAGCTATACGAGCCTTCACTTACTGGGCCTCATCCAAGCAGACAGTCATAGAGCTATACTCACCAATGTCTACACCATCCAAACCATCCAAACCGAGAATATTTATTAATTACGAACGATCGACATATGATAACTCAATTGAGAAAATTCACGCCGAATTTCGGTGGTCACCACCCGAACAGCCAAACGGTGTTATACTGGGATATACAGTGTACGCCTGGTCTATACAATCCGGACATAAAAATATCGAAGTGGAAAATGCAAAAGTCTACGGACAGACAAATCAAATCTATTTAAGTGATCTGAAATTAAATACGACATACTATTGTCAGGTACAGGCTTTCACTGAAGCAGGTGATGGACCACCCAGTGATGTGATTGGCGCTCACAGTTCAGATGAACATCCAGTTCCACGATTGTTGGTCACAAAAACCGATTCAATACGAATGGCTGACATTGATTCGCACGAAGAAAACATTCTGACCACCAAAGCTATAGTTCCCATTTCAGTCACTTATATTAGTAAAGAAAATCTTATGTTTTGGGTCGAAGAGGACGGTATAATCAAGAAGTCCTATTTAGATGGCTCTAACATTACGATTATCTATCAGATGCCCACTCGTGGCAGTACTTTGACAATCGATTGGATCAGTAGACACTTGTATTGGTCGGAAAGTGACAATTCGCCAAAAAGTACTATTTGGTCGTACGATTTGAATGACCCGAACGCCAGACCAGTTTTAATTACATCAAAGAATAATGTAGATATCGGTACACTAGAAGTGGATCCATTTACCAGTACTTTAATCTGGACTGAAATGTTAAGTGAAAGTCAGGGTCAGTTGAAGATGTGTAGCACCAAAAACTTTGCCACACCTTCTCTGGCCACAAATGTTCGGCTATTTTTCCAGCAAAACAAACCGCGAACCAAACGAGATGTGATGACTGACTCTTGTAATTGTGCAGCACATCCAGTGATCGGTAAGGCGCTGACCATTGATCGATCCAATTATGGCAAAAGCGAGCTTCTCTGGTATGACCTAAAGTATCATAGAATTATGGCCAGCGATATGACGGGTTGCAGGTGTCGAGTAGTGCTCAACAGTACATACGGATTTCCGCCGACATCGTTGACTGTGGACAACGATTATATCTATTGGTCTAACTCTACTTTAGGTAATATCTACAAAGTGGCCAAAAAAGACTCCAAGTTTAACTCGCAATCGTCGACAGCGGCCACCACTCCGATGAAAGCATTGCCAACAAATATGCTCAACATTTTGCAGACCTCGAATGAACCACTTTTGGTCATTTCCGAGATTGCAAACGGTGTTCACGATATCAAAGCGCTTAGCGATCACCTTCAGCCCTATCCACACTTTGAATGTCTTGTGCCCATTGAATATCACGAAACGGTCCGACTATTAGACTTTACGGCTCACAGTTTGACAATATCTATGCAAGAGGTTAGACGTCCATTAGGTTGTTCAAGAATATCACTGGCATCTGTCAAGTATACCATCTTTTACGGTAAAGTCCTACCCGATGGCCACTATGAATGCGGTTTGAGTTTAAGAGGCTGTAAAACTATTGAAACGTACAACAATACCGTTACCATCACTGGTTTGGAACCGTTTACAAACTATACAATACGGGTAGCAGTGAGGAACTACTATACCAACAACAATACCATTAGTCTTCCGGGTCCACCCGTCAACTTTGGAACAGCTGAGTCGAGACCATCGCCTCCCAGAAACGTTGTCGCAAAAGTTGAAACACCATTGAAAATAGTGGTCGCGTGGGAACCGCCAGAGAAACCTAATGGTCATCCAATTATTTATGAGATGCGTTGGTATTCATCGAAAGATCACGATTTGCGTAAAGCTATGTATACTAAGCGACCAAATATGACCCGTTATGGCTATAATGACCGGTTCATTATGAGATTAACCGAAGGCATCAAACCTGGTCTTGACTATCACATAACAATCCGCGCCTATTCTAGCGATGGCCTCTTTTATAGTGACAGCAATGAGGTTACGGCACAAACATATAAATTACCAAACGATGTATATTTGGTTGAAAAGGGCAGTCGTTTTCTGATAGTGTGTTGGGAGTCATCCTATTCTGACACCAATATCTCGGAAATTGGCGAACACTCTTTACAATATACAAGTGTTGACGAAAATGGATTGACGCCATGGATTGGAGGAAAGTTGGTTAATAAAACACAGCCATCGACTAAATATGTGTTCACAATCACAAACCTGTTGCCAAATACTGAATACGCCTTTCGAATGCTTCTTACATACCGATCCACAACAGCATTATTTATATGGCCTGAAAACGATAGGTTCTCTTTCCGAACACTGGGAGACGCACCGGAAATACCCGATCGACCAAAAGTCGAGGACATACCTGACGTTAGACAACCCTTGTATAAAGTTTCGTGGAATCGGATCAATGGAAATGGAGCACAAAGTTTATGGTATAATCTGTGGTACAAAATACAAGACAACGACATCAACACTGATAGCACTGACAGCCATAACAGTAACAGCAATTGGATCATTGCGTTCAATGGCACCGAAAATTACTGGTACGTCGACAGTACCCGATTGTCAACCGATAGAGATGTCGTGTTCAAAGTGGCCGCGTTTAGCGAGTTTGGTGGCAGTAATTTCAGTGATCTGAGTCAACCATTACGACTGACTATAGATGTGCCAGAAGAAGATGTGGCCTCTATGTTGGTCGCCATTTTGGGCGCAGTATTCTTTGTAATCATAGTTTTGATGATATTATGCACCGGTATGTCAATTGTCAAATCATTGTTTGGTTACATAAAAAGTTATTTCATTAATTTATTTGGTTTTTTATGTCTTTCAGTTCGTCGACGTCAAGTACAGGAACAGAAAAAGAAGTCATTCGGCGATAATATAATTCACAGAAATAACATGGAATTGGTTCCATGGCCTGAACTGCCCGGACATCCACACCTAACAAATACTCTTTACATTAACAGCAACTTGGAATCAGACCCCGAGTTAATGGCTATTAAACGTATAGCCAGAGATCAGATTTCTGAAACCAATTTACTCGGTTCGGGTAATTTTGGCGAAGTCTTTGAGGGCAAATGGCTTGAGATTGTCAACAATGAATCGCTGGTCACCAAAGTTGCCATAAAAGTCAGTATAGACTTATTGATAGAATTTTTATTCTGAACAATAATATCTAAATTATTTGATTTTATGATTATTAGACTCTGAGAAAAGGCGCCACAGATAATGATAAGACTAACTTTCTAGAAGAGGCCAAACGTATGGCCGGTTTCAAACACCCGCATATCATACAACTGTATGGTATCTGTTTGGACGCCAATCTGATATCATTGGTACTCGAGCTAATGGAAGGGGGGGATCTGCAAAAATATTTAAGAGATAACAGACCCATGAATGGTATCCCCAGTTCGCTAACAATGCAAGACTTGGTCAACATTTGTACGGATGTGGCAAAAGGTTGCAAATATCTCGAAGAACGGCATTTTATACATCGAGATCTGGCGGCTCGTAATTGTCTTATTTCAAGTTTTGATCCCAAGACACGTGTTGTCAAAATCGGCGACTTTGGATTAGCTCGCGATATCTATAAGAATGATTATTACCGACCGGATGGCAAAAGCGCACTACCAGTGCGATGGATGTCACCTGAATCTCTTATTGACGGTGTCTTTACATCCCAGAGTGACGTATGTTTAAAAAATAAAATAAAATTTTATAATATATTTAATTAATATTATTTTTGGTCACAGGTTTGGTCATTTGGTGTACTTCTATATGAAGTACTATCACTGGGAGAACAGCCATATCAGATAAAAAGTCACATACAGGTGCTTGAATATGTCAGATGTGGCGGCATATTAGAGCAGCCTATTAACTGTCCCGATGAAATGTACGGTTTCTATTTAACTAAATATTTATATAATAGTCAAATAAATAAATCAATTTTTATTTTTAAAAAAAAACAATTATTGTAGATATCGTTTAATGAAACGTTGTTGGATTTACGATCCCGAGGATAGACCTAATTTCTTCGACTGTCTCGAAGAGTTGGAAAATATTATGAAAAATATATCGGGATATAAAACGGTGTTAACAGCCGTACACAATCAAAATTATTTATTTAACCGTAAGTTTTTAAAAAATATATATTATTTAATAAACAAAATTAAATAAGAATTAGTGTATAATTATTGGGAATAAAAGGAAATGGATATCAAATGGTGTGGTTTACTTATTGACAATTATTGCATGTTTTAATGAATGCTCCTATTTTTTGTTGTTGTGGAGGTGTCATTGTCTAACTACAGTATGTGCCCTAAACTAACTTACTGGTGCTCTAACTCCCTGTATATTTTGTATTGTATTGCTATTAAATTTAATTAAATTTATTTAGTTTATTCAACTTTTTTTTATTGCCTCCCAGTTGTTATTAATTTATCTATTTTTTCAAACTAATCTAATAAATGTATTGTTTGCATAACTTTTTTGTTTTGAATTAACATTAAATATTATATAACATTTTTGTTTTTATTTGTTATGCTTTATATATGTCTATTATTTTTGTTATTCACGCTTTTTTTAGGCGGATTTGATAACCCCGGCTATAATGAAGATGAGAGACAGGCAGGTAGTGATGATTATATTGTTTTATATTACCTATTATTTTGTATCACATAATATCACATATTTCATGTACACTATAATACTACTAATATTTTTTTAAATGTCAAAAGCTTATGTGTTTTTTAAGAAAATATATTAACAAATTGTTTTAAAAAATGCTTTAAAAATACTCTATATATCATATCATCAATTAGTTTTTGAATCACATAAAACATATTTTTAAATAATAATAATTAAGTTTAATATAAAACTATAATTTCATAAATATATTAAATGAAAACAATTTATTAAAATTTAAATGTTTTATCACAAACAGGACATTCATTACAGATGATGAAAAACTCTAGAAGTTCTTCAGCACAGAGCTGTTCCAGTAGTTCAACGTTGAGAAACAGTGTCTATCAAAATGGTCACATAAAATATGAAGAGCTGGTGACCAATGATGAGTGTGCCTTCACTGACGCCGATGGATATCAGATCCCGATTAGCAAATCGCCGCTTCAGGCGACGGCTTCAGTTGACGATAAAAGCAAACTATTGAAAACAGTTAACCAAATTGTTGTACTTAACGGTAATGATAATAATAACAGTACCCGAACCAGACAACAGCCGACGGCAAGTGTCCGCCGAAAACAAGTGACTGAATCGACCAGAAGTTGTTCGCCGCCACCGACTTATTCACAATTATTCAAAGCAAATGAAGTCACGCTAAACAACGATTTGAATAATTATGAAAACGGTGTAAACGGTTTGATGGTCACCACAGCAGGACAAGTGGCTGCTGCGGCCGGCAATATGCGACCAATCAGTGGTCACCAGAGCCTGAATCCAAGTCATGATAAAACCAAAAACTGTCTTCTAGTCATCAATGATAACAAACCAGAGTCGACGCTAACTAATAATCAATTATCACTACATCCTTCTTCGCTGTCATCATCACCCATATCTTGTTCGACATCGACATCGAGTTCGTGTTCACCAATCATAGCGGGCGCTCTGCTTAAGAGTCAACCGACTTTGTATATGTTGTCACAACCATCGCGACAGATCACCGAAACAAAGTATTGCTTCAATAACTCTGGTGTTCGTAAAGTTGCCAAAAGTTTGGCCACCAGTTCGGTGGAGACGTCTGAAGAGGACTACGACACCGATTGCGATACTGAGACCATTGCGGCCAACGATATGTTTGCCAATATGTCCAGTGATAACAATAATACTAACTATAATCAGAATCATAGGCCATCGCCACCGATGGTCACAACTATTATCAATGCAAACACCAGAAGCACAATCATTCCTAACGCAGTAAACAAATCGATAACGGGTTATACAAATCCATTAATTAATGGTAAATGCAATGATCAACAAAATCAAAGTAAATACGCTCTGATTACTCGACTCGAGACAAACCAGACATTTCCTACTAATACTACTAACCATCCCTTCAATTACGATGACAACTCTTCGTGGTGTTGATACTCATAAACACATACCTAATCTTTTTTAAACTAAACTAACGTTCCCTATGTTTCACACCATTATCAAGACTTCATCGTCATCTAAACCATTGTTTTATATCCGACTATTGTTTATATCATTTTTTATTATTTTTATAATATATTTTTAATAAATTTCTAACTAGTTTATATCATTTTATAAAATTATTATTTTTTTATTATAATTATTTTTATTAATGATTTAAGAGAAAGTTTAACAATTTTATTATTATTGTAAATTAATTTTATATAATATTAATAAACCATATAATACATAATATATTTTTATTAATACATATTTTTTATATAATCAGTTGACAAAATATCAAATATTAATAATGATCTAAAACATAACAAACGCATATATAATATATGACATTTAAATTATATTGTAATTAATAATGATTTTATTTTCTACATTATATTTATATATATGTTTATATAATATATTTATATAAGTGATAGTTATTTGAAAAATAAAGTAAATTTTATTTTAAATCAATATTTAATAAATGTTCTTTTATTTAAATAATAAAAAAATCTATTTAACAATAAATTCATTATTATTTAAATTTATCACTAAATTCATTAGTGAAGTCTACAAACAAAACCATCAAAATTTGCTTTTATTGCCGTAGAATAATAATAATAACCCGTTTTCGTTGTTTATTTTAATGATTGCTAATTAAAATAACTATTTGTATATCAATAATATATTATTATTTATACTTTTTATATATAACTTATATATATTCTATTGGCGAATATAAAAGGTTTCCCAAATGTAAATATAATATTCACATAATGTTATATATTATATACGTATTATATATAAGTATAAAAGCGTATATATATTCATACATTACAATAAAAATAATAAATATATAAAAAGTCTCTGTAGTATTAAGTCTCTTTGGCCGGTTATTGTATAAAATTACAATAAATAAAATGGGTTAGTTATGAATTATACAAAAAATAGGTTAACCCTGATTAATCTGGTGTCTGCACTTTAATCCATTATAAATTATAATGCTTAATTTCTATAAATATAATTTTCATATGTAAACAATGGTATATGATTTTCAATCAATCAAAATAAATATATATATAAGCATATTTAAATAAATAAAAATAATCTAAAAATATATATTTATAACATGATTTATAGAAAAAGATTTATAATATGAGACACGTGTTTTGGTAAAAATTAAACTACTTATATAAATATCGAAACCATTAAAATAAATTATGTGTAAAAAAGCGTGGAGTCAATATATCTGTCAAAAAAATTTTTTGATATTCAATTTATGTCGAAATGTATATACTGTATATACGGTATACAAATAGATTGTAGATACAAATATAATAAATAGATAATATAAAAAATATGTGATAAGTTATTCACAAAAAAAATAAAATAATAACTGAATACAAGCTCAAAATTAAGATTATCAAAAAACTATGAAAACTGATTAAAAAAAATTAATCACATAAATAGCTATCAATTTTAAATTAGAATAATCAATCTTGGAGATTTTTTTCAACAAAAATAAACATTTCAACAAAATTTGATGATAAAAATCAGATTAATTATGCAAAATATTTCAATGATTCATATATTTGAAGCTATTTTTCAAAATCAAATGTCACAAAAAAAACCGATTTGAATGATAGGAAGTTTGCAAATAAACAAACAAATATATGAATTGCATAATTAAGTTAAAAAAATACGTATAAATCAATCACAATATTTTCAGACCTCGACTTCAGCCACTTCTTGATTCAGATGATTATGACGTTTGGACTCTTTTTCTAGTGCTGTATATTCACGTTTGGCTATCACACCAGTCCTCAGATATGTCCAACTATGGGACAGGAAGTCTCTATTTATGTATACCAGTGCTGTCAACAGTGCTGCCAATATGATGACCAAAACTGTGAGAATTGTATACGAAAAAGATATATAGTCGCGGAAGTCATCGTTTTTAACAGAATTAAAGCATTCTAAGTCCATAACACTGAGATCATCGAAATAACGGCCCGCGTTGTCCATCGGGTGTCCGTAAACGCACCGATATTTCTCAGCAGAGTCTAATCGGATGTCTTTATCGGGCATTTTCGACCACAAAAAGAAATCAATTAGCTCGCAGTCACAGCGAAATGAGTTCATTGACACGTTTATATGATAGTTGGCCGGACCGGTCTCAATGAGAGCAATAGACCGATTGGTCAGTTTGGTAATGAAGTTATAGCTGACATCGACAGAGTTTAGATCCTTAAGACAAGTCAAGTTAAGTGTAAAGTCTGTCAGATAATTGTTGGCCAAATGTAGCCGCTGTAGGGCTGGTAGAGCACAGAACATGTCTGGACTGGGAAACGACATACGGATGTGATTCTCATTCAAGTCTAACACTTTCAATGTGTTCAGTTGGCTCTCGTTAAAAGTGATCCACAGGTGGTCCAGAAAGTCCAGATCGTGGACAGAGTTGTCAAAAGCATTGCGAAGATGGAGTTCTTCGAGACTAAGAAAGTTGGAGAACATTCGCGGATGAAAGTTGTCCTCATCGATGATAATCTCATTGTCGTTGAGGTTCAATACTCGTACAGTCTTTACGTTGTGAAAACTTTTGCCGCGAATAAATTGGATGCTATTATTAGATAAGTCGATGGTATGTAACTTCTCGTATGTCACGTCCTGACCGATCAGGTTCTGCGGCAAACTCTGTAATCTATTGCCAGTGAATATCAGTACTTCGGTTTGCGGCGACATCTGTGTCAGTATGTCTGTGGTCGTGAAGTTGGTGTTCGTACAGTTGGTCACGTATGACATGCGTCCGGTCGGACCATACGGACGCAGACCGCACTGACACCGACCTTTGAATGCTTCGGGACATCCGGTCGTCTCTTTCCATTGATTCTCGGCTGCGGTCAGTTGTCCGACAACTAAATAGATAACAAAAACAAGTGCTAAGAAATGGTCGCTATATCTGTTGTTGGTCTGCAATGTCGTCGTCGTCCACCACATCGTTAAGAGTATGTGATGTTATTATTTGTTTGTTTTTTTTTTGGTCACTTGTTTGCCGCGGATATAATTGGCCACAAAAACTGTTACCGCGATTGTGTTGTGCACTGACTGTTGTTGTGGTCAACAAAAAGTAGTGAACAAACAAAACAAAGCGTCACTCAATTCGTGTCAAAACTTGTTTTTACTAACAATTTATTGTAAAACTTTTAACTAATTCTACAACACTATTGTATAGCAATGCTATGTTTACCTGCAATAGTGTGCCATAAAGTAGTGTTGTATATATATATTGTACACAAAAATGTTTGTGCAATAAAAGTTTGGATACTATACCTGTATATTATACTGAGTGTATAGTACTGTACAACAACTAACTACCTGTCCAATTTAGGGATAGGGTTGGGTTGGGTCGGTTGTCCCCGAGGGCACATTAGTTATTATGTTGTGTACAGGTATTATGTTTGGTGCATGACTGCCAATGGTCATTCATAGTCATTAACAATTAATGTCGGCATATAATAAATGTTTTTTTTTGTAAAAAACATGCTATTAATAAATTACAGTGTTTTAAATGAAATTAATATCATAATAATTATACAAAAAAAATTCTTTATAAACAATTTAAAATTAATAACAAAATTATAGGAAATATAAAAAAATTATGTTGATAAATTATCTATGATAACTAATAGATATACATACCGGTATATATATATATATATATACTGTATATACATATTTTTTTATTAAATATACAGTATAATCATAAATAAATATATTCTATTAATAACATAAACTACTGTATATACTTAATTTTATTCAATGATCATAAATTTTTTAAAAAATTAAATATTTTCATGAAAAAATCATATGCAATAACTTCCAGTTCAGTATAACTGCAATCAAATTATTAGATTTTCAAATATCTTATTAAATTTTTAATAAGAATTGTGTTTTTTCAATGTACTGTATTTTAACGTAAATATTTATATTTTATTTTATAATACATAATATAAATATTATATTATTTATTTTGTCAATAACAGAACTTTGGTATATTAAATAAATTATAATAAATAAAATTAATGAATACTATATAAAAGTATAGTAGAATACATATATAATATAAATTTGTTTGAATCTATGGGTCTAAATAATTAAATAACATAGGAAATCATAAACTGATATACAAAAATCATATAAATCATTTATACACTACAATGTATTGACAATATATTATTTAACAATAATATATGATATAAATATTTAATATTAATAATATTAGCTATATGTATATTATTTATTTATTTACAATATTAGAAGATTTTGAAAATGCCAATTAATAAAATTTATATTATAAGATTTGTTATAACAATATTATTATATTATAAATTCAAATCTATTTATGATATATATATATTATGCTATATATATTACAGTATTATACATATATATATATATAATATATATTATACAGTATATCCCGATTCTACTAAAAATTATGTCAAATATATTTTGGAAAGAATTCAAATATTGGAATACTTTACTATTGAATGTTAGAAAAAACAAAAATTTTAAACAATTTAATCTTTAATCATATAAAGAAAATTGATTTTAACAATATTTAATTATTTTAATATATTCGTTGTTATATTTATCTATTTTATGTAATTTTAATTATAGTTTATTAGAGCATTCAATGTATACCAGTTTTTTACTGAATGAGTTGCCAATAAAAAGTCTATTATTATTATTATTGTTATTATTATATAGTCTATATAATACAGACTAGTGGTGTGACTTTTGTCTAAAATCCCGTTTTGTCAGGTCTTTGCAAGACTTGCTCTCGTCTTGTGTCACGTATTGTATATTTAAAGGTCAATCCAATGCAAGATCTTTCCCGTCTTTGTATAAAATTTAATTATTTGAAGATTATTTTAGTTATTATAACATATAATTACTACAGTATTATTAATTTTAAGCTAAATTATTTATGACTAATAGTGGACTAACATTCTTAGTAATTAAAATTATTATTATTATTATTAATTATTGTATTATCAGTGATTATTAGTAATTATTGTTAATAATATTAATAATTACAAACTATTAATTAAAATAAAAATAAAGTATACTTATTAATAATTAACATTATAATTATTAATTTTTAAAAAAATTATTTTTAATATTTTTGATGACCAAGACGAACAAGATCTTGTTTTACATCACTAATATAGACTTATTATTATCAAAAATTATTCAGCTTAAATAAACAGTAGTTAAGTTTTTTATTGTACAATAATAAATTAATATTTAATAATAATAAACATGACATTTACATATAATATTAAACAATATATACTGTATGTGGGTGTGAATGTACTGTATATAAAATATAATAATTATTAATATTATTAAAAAATTAATTTAAAATAACTTCTGATTTGGTATTTAAATAATTTAATCTAATAGAGAAAAATTGTTTTAAATAAATTATAAAAGTATTATATGAGAGAAATTAAAAAATATATATAATATAAAATTCTATTTTAAAATCTTAATGTAAATTTTTTATTATTTAATATTTTGAAATATTATATTTATATTATTAAAATATAATAAAATAGAAAATTAGTAAATAATATAATAATATTTTAAAGATAATAAAATTTTAATTTAATTTATATTAGTTTTATGTAATACTGTTAGCATAGAAATTATTTAATAATTTTAAAGTAAACCACTTGTCTAATTATAAAATTTTATAAATATAATTTATTAAAATTCTTTGTATCAATCTGAACTAATGTTATATTTAAATAATAATTGATTTTTTATTACATATATAATTATACATTAATATATTCTAGAAATAGCATACACTATGCTTAATTTTAAACAATAGACATAAATTTAAAAAATAATAATTTTGGAAAATTTTTATTCAATAAATTCCAGTTCATTATCATTGAATTACATTAATATATGTTTAACATGATGATGACCTAAATAAATTTCCAAGAAAATTTTCAAATTAAATTTTTAAAATTATATCTAAAAAATAAAATACATTTATAATATGTTTATACATGTATATATAACTTTAATTATTTTTCTAAATAAGCTTGATCAGGCAAAATGCACTCAGTAATATAAAGTATACATATGTCTATTACTATATATTATAATACTGTATAGTATATGTAAATTATTAATCAAATACTATGGATTTTCATAAAATAATTATTTATATTAATGTTTATCACATTAAATTCATAATCAAGTTAAAGAATTTACATTAAAATATAATTTTTAAATATATAAAGTATTTATTATGTAACAATATGTGTTATACATATAGCATTTCATATATAATTTGTAAATAACAAATAATATTATTATCATCTATGGTATCACATAATATAATACAATACCGTTGATAGTCTCAGTGATTACAATAACGTCATCTAAACTTAAAACAGCTAATATATAATTTATATATTATTTATAAATAGACCAATGATTTGGTGGGTAATTATTGCAGAATAAAATATTGCTTAGATATATGACCAGTGATACAGTGATTTAAAATATAAATATAATGCCATTTAATAAATTTGAATTAATATAAATTAAATACAGAGTTTAGAACATAATCAGTATTTAATTTATTTTTCAAAAAATTAGTATTTTGATTGTGAAATCTTTTGATTTTATTTTTATTAACAAATTTAATTAAAAAAGTAAAATAAAAAGCAAATAAAACATTTGTGAAAATCATCTCAAAATACATTAATTTATCAGTTTAAAAGAAATTTCTATCTTTGGGATCTCCATGTTAATTTTGTTTTTCTCGATATATGTTATTATGTAACAATACATTGTTTATACATGTAATAATTTAATATTAGTATTGATATTTTAATTATTAATTAAAGTAACAATTAATTTATTTAATTATCTTAAATTTTTAAATATATAATAAAATGATTATTAAAATATTACAAAACTGATTATTATTAAATAATTATTTTACATATAGGTATCGCATTTTGTATAGTATAATGTTATATGAGTAGTAGTTAATGTCTCATTATTTATATATTATTACAATAGCTATAGATATGGGGATCCCATAGTATAACAATAAAGTTAAATTTCTATAGAAATTTATTCCTGAGAAATTTTCTAGAAACTTTCTATTTGCCCATCTCTAGTTACATCAAACAATATCAATAAATTAAAACAAAATAGCACAGAAATTTTATTTATTTATTTTAATTTTCAAATAATTATTTAATTGATTACAACTAATATCACTAATAATTAGTTTTAATTTTTACGTAACCAAAATAAATTTAATATATCTATATGTAATTTTTTAAAATCTAGATGAAACCACTTATAATAAATATTTTATTTTTATTTAAAAATAATTTTGTTTAATTAAAAATACAGTAATATGTAAACAATATGTAAATTAAGTATACAATATAATTAAGTGAATTATAATAAATTACAATTATAGGTTAATAAAAATTTTATAAAATAAAATTATGTTAATTTATAATTATAATTGGAGTGTTATATTGTTTATTAAAATACATTTACATAACATTTTTTATTTTTTATTTTTATTTAATATAATTTATATGTTAAAATTTGTAATGTTTAAAACATTAATTTTATATTAAACTGTATTAAATTATATTAAATTATATTAATATTAAATTGTAATATTATTGATTTTTTTAGTTTCATCAATTTAGTTTTGGCCTATTTTTGTTTAGTTTTGTTGCCTAAAATGATTGTTATTTTGTGGTTTAATTTTACAACATTTTTAAAGACATTCATTTACAGAGCATATCAATATTGTGTAGAAATTTTAATAGTAATAATGTCATAATAATAGTTTGTTTTATTTTATTATCATATATTTTTGTTTACATAAAATGTGATTATCCGTGACTAACGTTTTGTGAATTAATTAGCATATATAGCATATCAAAAATATAACAAATAATTAAAAATTATATTGTGTTAATAAAATAATAATCAACTATAATAAATGATTAATTAATTAATTAAAGATGATAAAATACTGTTTAGGATATTGTATATATAAAAAATTTGTGTAACATAAATTTAATTAAAAAATATTTTGTTCAATTAATGTTTTATACAAATATAATATTGTGAAATAATAATAATAGTGTTTGTTATTTAATTTAAAGGTAGTATCATATAAATATAAATAAAAAATATTAATATAATAAAAATACTAACTATTATAATTAACTAATATATATATATATAAATTATATAAATGTAAACATTTATAAATTGATTAGATAAAGCTGATTTAAGCGATTGGAGCTTTTAAGCTGATTATATACAGTATATTTATATTATCTATATATAGCATATTGTACTGTAAATTATACATTAGAAATCTATTAAAAAAATTGGGTAAATGACTCTAACATTGTTAAACAATTTGTATAAATTTATTTTGTTTATCACTTAACGATTTAACAATTATTTCTTAAGATTTTGGTACAACACAAACCTACAAAAATGAGATTTATTTAAGAAAATTAATTGTGATTTAATCAATGAACCTGAAGATCATCACATGTATGTGTGTGTCTATGTATGTGTGCTTACAGTCTGGTAGAGATAGTCGACTGTCTCATCACTGATAAGCTCTTGACTGATGTGCTGTAAAACAGTAAGGGTTTGGCTCTGAAGGTACGCGTCCTCTCCAGTTGTCGACGTTTTACAAAACATCCAAACAAATAGCGTTTGAAATGTGACCGAAATTTACCGCTTATTAGGTATAACTATATATCAAATAAATAAATAAATATATATATATATATATATATATATAGAATATTCCAATTAAAATATATTTTTAAAAATTAATTAATTATAAATTTTCATTGCAAGTACTTTCCTTATAAATTATTAATTAGCTTTTTATTATACAGTATTTATGAAATAAAAATTGTAAAATTAACTTTAAATCAATTTAAGTTATTATAATTCTTAATTGAAAATATTTTTTTTTAATAATTTGGATTTTTTTATTTATACTGTATAATCATTGACATTATTTTTAAAAAAAACTTGATTTACTTAATTTAATATTTATATAATATAATTAAATCAATTACAAAATCTAAAACATACTTATATACTGATTCAAAAGTTATCTATGAAAAATTGTTCAATTTATACATTTGTTATTTAAAAAATTGTTTATTTGTTTGCCTTATAAAATAAGGAAAGTGTTTGCAGTCAATGCTAATCAATATTAATGAAGCGATTCATTGATTGTCATTACTTACAGTCACCGGATTTAAACAACTGTTGCTAAACGTCAGGCAATATCCTAGTAATTGGGGTTTCAATAAAAAGGAAGCAATTTATTAATCGTTTATTTTATATTTAACACGTTTTTTCACAAAAAAATATATATGTGTTTAAAAGTTATCAAAAAAAAAAAAGAAAAAAGATAGACAATAACTACCATATACTATGTGTTTTCATGAACTCGTTTGAAAATTAATATTATTAAATCTATACGATTATATCACTTTTTTAATCAGTTTATATCATTTCATTATATAAATAAAATAGTAATCCTATTAATAAAATATTTATTATATAATTTACCTTAACCCATACTGACCTATGATAGTGTTTTATTAGATTAAAAAAATGTAAATGTAATAAATAATAATAAGTTAATGACATTTATTTTTATTGTTATAATTTTGTTGTGTTTGTATTGTTTTAATCAAAATGACCAAAAAGATGGAAGTTATCTAAGGTTACATTAAACACGATATCCTAGAAGTTCATTGACAAACATTGCATTTATTATTATTATTGATGAATACCTATAACTTATCATTTATATACAATAATATCAAACCTATAAGTATATATTTTTTTGAAATGTTTATTTAGTAATAGTATGTATTGAGAAATATAAAGTTTATTTTACAAAACAAAGTGTCAAAATTTTAAGCGTATGTCCAATTTGTTTGAAATATGTTTAAAGTCATAAAATGTCATTTCAAAAAATAAATACAAAATAATCAATTCATTTTGCTTGAATTAGTTACTAATTAATATTTTATCAAAAATTATAAATCCCAGAGGCTAATCATTATTAAATATAAAAAATTTATAAAATTATTGTATGATTTTAGGTATAGATTTTATTACGAAAGTCCTACTTTAATTGCTGACCTATGAATATATTGTCTATAAATAAAATTTTATTTATATTATAGATATATAATATATTAAAGTAATTCAATATTGTTGATTTGCCGCCCAATATCTCACTTTAGCCGATTGTCCTATAAATTTTAAGATTTGCTTGAATATTTTTCAAATGCAATTTTATTTTTTAAAATTAAATTTTTAATTAACATTCAATTTAAAATTAATTGCACTTAATCAAGCTACAATGTATAATATGTGCATATTAATTTAGATTAAATTATAGCAATTTGGTAACTTTTGAAACTTTGAAACTAATTTGAAAATTTTTAATTTTTTAATAGTACGTAGCTTACGTCAAATAAAATAATTTATTTATTTTTTATGAAAAAACTATACAGTAAAATGTTAATCATTTGTTAATAGAAATAATTTATTACTAAAATTCCAATATTTTTGATATTTTAACATAAAATATATAACGATTTCCAATGAAATGGTATTTTATTTATGCGGAATTGATTTATTTTATTTTATTTGTTTACTATTACATAAGTACTATTACGATAAAAGTTTATAATTTTGTAAAAAAATTAATAAAAATTGTCATTTCGAAAATATATAAGAAATATTTTATATAACAATTGATGTACAGTATATGCTATACTGAAATATAAACTGTATTATATTTACTGTAACTGACATTTTCACTATTTTTATCTCTTTTCCCTTAAAGCTAAAAATTTATGTTATTTTAGTTATAAGTGGAAAAATAAAAATCAAACAAACCTGATATCTTTAATAAGTGCCAAAACGTATTGTAATTATCCATTGAGTTTGGATACGTAAAGTAAAACCATAGCATAAATACTAAAATAAATAAAAATAGTCGGAAAATATTTAATTTTATTAATATTTAATATTAATGATATAATTTAGATTAAAATGTGAAAAAGGTATAAATAATTAATATTAAATGTGTAATTCATGCTTCAAAAACAATAAATTTAATAAATTATTTAATTAAAACACTTACTATGATTCGGAAAGAAACAAACGGCAAAAATGATGGCCAAAGTAAAGACCATTTTGGCGACCCGTGTCCTCTGCTCTATATGTTTGTTGTGATTAACATTTAGACCATTTACCTGTTGTGAACTCTGGACGAGATGTCTGGCCATCATTGCGTAAAAGGAACCAATAGTTAGGAGTGGTATCACATAGAAGAATATAAATCTGAGAAGTACTATCATTTTGGGATACCATTCCCCCAACTCGTTTGGAAACGGATAGCACACCTTTATGTAGTTGTTATCGCTTATGTTATACTTTAGGATATGCGAATTATAAGCACCGGGAATGGCAAACAATATAGATGTACACCACACGGCAACCACCACTGCAAGGGTAGTACTCTTAGATGAACTGTCATTAATTTTGCTGAACGGCGCCGCTATTGCAACGTATCGGTCAAATGACAGTACACTTAGAGTCAAAACAGTGACACCGATCGACACATCTTTAAGAAATTCGCTTAGTTTGCAGATAAACTCACCGAACGGCCAACTTTCCAATGTATATATAATACTAATAAAAGGAACGGTACCGACAATAACTAGTAGGTCACCCACTGCCAGACACACGATGAAAGTGTTGGGCAAATTTCTCATTGATTTATGTCTAATAAATATGTGGATCAGTGTTCCGTTTCCCAGAAAACCCACTATAAATATGATGCCAAATATAAAGGGAACTATATATGTTTCCATCCGTTCCTCATATGATAAGTAATCGTCGGTACTATTGTTATGATAACTAAAGTTATTTTTAACACCGGAATAGTTGTTTGAAAAATAGTTTGAATTAAAAGCATCAAAGAGTTGGCTTTGTGTCACCAATTTCTTTATGGAGTTATCTTTTGTCAAATTATTTTCAAGACTGTCCACGCCTTCAGTGTTGTCCATTTTGGTATGCATTTCGGTCATAATTGGATCAAATATCAAAAAAGTTTAAACTTTTGTTTTAAAACTTTTGTCATACAATTGATTTAAAAATAAAATTATTTTTAACATATTTGAATACAATTTTAGACATTTGTTTAACACTCTCTGTTATTATTAATTTTTGATCAAAAGTCACAAACATTTGAAAGTTTTCTTTTATATAATAGTTTGTTTCAGTTATTAGTGAAGAAAAAAACGTTTTAATAATTTTAAAAACTCTATTCTGAACAAAACCTAAACAGTTGTTTGATATTCAATGTCTGAGGAGTTTATGATAAACTGTTTTAATAAAGGCTTTACATTATATACAGAGAGAGAGAGAGAGAGAGAGAGATCTCATGGCTTCAGATTTTGCACACAAGCAGTCAAACTGAAACACTTTGAACTATCGGTGCTATCCATACCTGCGCACCGCAGACTCAAAACTACTGAATATGTTATGGTTTAAGAAAGCAGTTTATTATTAAAATTATTAGTATTATTGCAATTTTAATTTTTAAAAATATTTTTTCATTCATATGTTTTATGAAGTAAACAGAATATATTCTAATAAAATGTGGTTTTAGATAACATTATATTACATTTAATAAAAAGTTATTTATATATTTAAATGACAAATACAGTATAGATAAGAGATGTTATACACAAAAATATCAAATTCTTTGATATAAATGTTGCAAAACTTATTTTTGACGATTCAAATGATTTTATCGATATTTAGATATATATAAAGTATATAAATATATTAGTATTTCAATAAATTAATGCATTTTTTGAAAACGTCATTTTTTTAATGATAGTTGTGAACATTTTAATTGTTATTTGGATTATTTTATTTTTTTAATCATAAGTTAAGAGTAAAATTTAACAAAAATATAAAAGCAGTCGAAATAGACATGAATTTGGTTTTAGTTAAATAACTCATTAAATTCTTGAGGAATATTATCGATTCATTTTTAATATAAAGAGCACAAGTGGTGAGTATTAATAAGTAATATATCATATAATTTAAATTAAATATAAAAATTTTCTATAATATTAAATAACATGAGATAAAATTGCATTTATTTCTTGAAATACTAATATATATATATATTGAAAGTCAAAAAATATATTTTTCTGATTCAAAGTCTGTCAAACTATAAGATTATATTTTACAATAAATTATATGATATATTATTATTGATAGTAAACTACTGTAATCTCGATTATGTTATTTGCATTGTAAGTACACTCAAATCTCACGAAAAAACTTATTTAATTTAGATTTTCTGTTCCCAAATATTGTCATAAAAAACTAGACATCAAATGTCAACCGACTATATAATTGAATAATATTTCGCAATTGTGTTGAATTTATTTTGTAATATTATTTATATATTGATATCAAATATATACCGTATATTTATATTTATTGTTATATAATATTACTTAGATTTTAAAAGCCACACATTAAACCATTTTCTTTGAAATTAAATCAACTAAAGTAATATCCTTTTTATTTAATTATTTGTTTTTGTTAAAAAAAACCAAACCTTTTAAATATTTTATAATAATGGCTTTGCTAACGATATCTATTGTGAAATCCAAATGTTATATATATTTATTTTTTCATTAAAAAAAATATTTCACACTATTTTTTGAGAAAATGCTTTTTTCAATTTATCTGAGATTTATTTTATTGCACTGAAATTGCATTTTATTTTATATTTTCATGCCTTGAAATATTTATTTATTTTATATTTTTTTATAAAAATTGGATATTGTGCAACAAATAATTATAATAATAGTAGATATTATTTATTTATTTGTTTATTTAGAAATAGTAGAGTATTATTAATAGACAGTATTTACAATTCTTAAGTACTCTTAATAAAAATAATAAAATTTATAATAATACTATACTAACTTATAAATACGGTATTATAGTTATTTAAGTTAGCATTATTATTTCTATATTCAGTATTATACTGTTGATTATTTATTTATTGTTTTGAATATTAATACTAAATATAAATATTAATAACATTATATAAATTCTCTAATATATTATTATAATATATGATAGTTTAGAATAATCAATTAGATAAAATGTTAATATCATTTATTTTAAAATATCTCCCAAATATAATTAAAAACTAGTGATAGACAACTAGAATTTGTTTCAAAAAATTTCCAAGAGAATATTTTTTACAAAAAATATTAATGTAAAATTTTTAATTGAATATAAGTTATATATATAATAAATAAACACAAAATTAAATATAAATAATCTATTAGTCTGTATGACTTATTTACTAAAAAACCCAGGGTTTACATTATTTTTTATATATGTTTAACATTATTCACTGCATTAAACATCTATCTATAATGATTTTTTAAATAATTTAATATACAGTATGACTATTGTATAATAACTACAATAATACGTGTATTATTAATATTGAATATATCTATAATTTATGATAAATTTTTATTAACTTTAGATTATAACATTATAGCAAAAAATCTAATTGCTCATTTGAATTATGCAAATTGCTTTAACAAAACAATCTAATAGTTAAATAGTAAAATTATATTTACATTAAGTAAAATTATTCATATTATTATGATATTATCAGTCAAGTTATTTCAACCATTAGTAAATTATAAGTTAATTAATTCAAACTTAATTTAGATAAAGTTTATAATTAAGTTGAAATAATGTTTAAATTAACTTATAAAAAATTATTTATAAAATTACTAGAATTTTTTAGTAAACTTTCTATTTATTGTATAGATCTGAACAAATCTATACTATCAAAAATTTCATATAATAAACTAAATATTTTTTGTATCATAAGTTTATTAATAAATTAGTAATCGTATTGTACAAATAAATATTATAAAATTGTAGATAGTGTTTTTAATAAATAGTAAAAACAATTTAATAATATAATAACAATATACAATTAATATACAATGTGTTGTTTTGCTAATGATTATTATAGTAAATTCAAAATATAAACATTGGTTTCTTTTTATTTATACAAAAAATATTAAATTAATATATAAATATAAAAATATAAATGTTTAATATAAAAATAGACTAAAATATATTAATAGACCTTACCATATTTTGCAATGTCATTCAAATTGTTACTATAAAACATTTGTTGGTTAGAATTAAAATTATATTTTGTAGACACGGATAACATATTAATTGATGATTTCAGGCATTGAATGTCATATAATTTAACTTAAAGTACTCTTAAAAAATAATAAATATCGACTCTATTTTATAATATATTAATAAATCTTGAAAAAACTAAGTACACCATTATGTCTATTTGATTTGATAAACATGTTTTAAAAAATATGTATAAAAAATATTTTATATTTGTGATCATCGGTTGTCAAAATTGATTTTGTTATTTGCTATCTTATTAGTTATCAATCTATAAAAAAGTAATGTATAATTTATCAAATAAAATAAAATATATTATAATTAATCAAAAAATCATTTAGGTAATTTTCCAATACATATTATCTTATACTGTATATATAATATATAAATTTATATATTTTTTAATTATGCTACTTTTCAATTGAAACATGATGTATCTAGAGGCATAATTCTTAAAAATATTATCAAGGTTATCTTATATTAATTGTTTGACAGGAAAGACTTTATTTACTTATTTTGCATATACTATATATCATAGATGAGTACCTCATTAATTCATATACAATTTATTTATATACACTACTATAGTTAACTATACTGTATGTATTATACATGTTTGTCAATGTGATGTGTATATTATAAAACAATATATATATAAATTTATATACTGTACACTATATCTATTGGATATAGATTGTATATACTGTATAATAAATAAAACAATATTTCTAATAATAAAGAAATTGCTTATATTGACTAACATTGTAAGTACTGTTCAAAGTTATCTCCAATAGTATATTATAATAATATTTGCAACTATTGGTTAGTTAATAAAAAATATTGTATTTTGTTTATCATCACATATGCTAAACAACTAACTAAAACATAGACTCAATACCATTGATGATGCTTTTACTTTTGAGTGCCGTTTCCTTTTTGGTTTGATTATCATTAAGTTTGTATTTTTTATGGTTTTTATTTCTCAATTATAATATATAACCGGTGATGACCTGATAAATATAGTATTTCCACATTTCTACTCCTTGTCTTATAAGCGTTCAATGAATTATACTATACGGTAGTATATCATATAATTATACATTAACTATGTTTATGGACAATATATTTTATATCACATTATTTTTTTTATATCATGTATTATGAATGTTAATAATTTTTATATTAAAATTACATTATATTTTGTTACAATAAGTTATTAATATAGATAAGTGATAGCTTTTTATACATATACTGTAGTGTATGTGTTATAAAATTGCAATTGAGTACAAGGATTCAGGAATTAAGGCAATAAATTGTGATATATTTATGTTATTTGAGTCGACACCTTATAATTACTAAATATAATCATTATAATATATAAAAGTAATGCATTTATATTATATAAATATTTACTGTCTATATATTATGATATTCAATTTATTAAATTGAAATTTCTTATATTTAGTTAAATATTTATTTATTTAGAAAATCAAATAAAATCCTTGCAATATTTTGTTTGTTTAAAATTTAAAAAAATAAAATTGATATATTATGGCAAACATTTTTGTTTGTAATAACTAATCAATCAAAAACAACATAAGTTATAATACATTTTAATAACATTAATTTTTAGCTTTAAAATCGGTAAAGAATAGTGTTGGCAAAAAAGAGAAACTTATAAAATAATAGAGAAATTTATAGAAAGTTTCTAAAAGAAATTTCTATTTATGGGATCCCCATGGTTAATTTTATTTTCTCGATATTTGTTATCTTTAACATTGGTTTTATAAGTAATATTTAAATATTATTATATTTT